TGACACTCTGCTAGACACTCTTGCTGGACACTCTTGCTTGACACTCTATCTTGACACTCTTGCTTGACACCTTTGATGGACACTCTTGCTGGACACGCTTTGCTGGACATTCTTGCTGGACACTCTCTTTGCTTGACACTCTGCTAGACACTCTTGGTGGACACTCTTGACAGGACACTCTTGCTTGACACTCTTGCTAGACACTCTTTCTTGACACTCTTTGCTAGACAATCTTTCTTGACACTTGTTCTTGACACGCTGGATACTCTTGACACGACACTCTTGCTTGACACTCTTTGCTAGACAATCTTTCTTGACACTTTCTCTTGACACTCTTGCTTGACACTCTTGCTGGACACCCTTGCTTGACACTCTGCTAGACACTCTTGCTGGACACTCTTGCTTGACACCCTCTCTTGACACTCTTTGTGCAAATCCCAATGGCACTGCGGCATCACGAACGTCGTGTCGCCACACGGTCTACCCACACACTAGAAGGAGTCATGCGAGCGTTTCGTACGAGACTTCCTCCAAAAGTCACGCTTCGTGGCTGCAAGACGAGCACTTCGTACGAGACTTCCTCCAAAAGTCACGCGTCAAGTCTCCAAAACGAGCATTTCGTACGAGACTTCCTCCAAAAGTCACACGTCAAGTCTCCAAAACGAGCGTTTCGTACGAGACTTCCTCAAAAACTCACACGTCAAAGTCTGCAAAACGAGCGTTTTTCGTACGAGACTTCCTCCAAAAGTCAAGCGGAAACACCCATCGGAGCACACCCATCACACAGCCCTGCCAAGCAGTTTCGCGATTTTCAGCCCCTCCAAACAACACCCGCTCACACGCCAATCACCTCTACCACAACTCACAACCTCACGATTCCCTGCGCCTGCCACGAATCTTTCCGCGTCCACACGTCTAACGCGCACAAAGTACTGCGCCTGCCACGAAATGTCACCTCCGTCACACATCGCAACCTCACGATTCCCTGCGCCTGCCACGAGAATCGCACTTCCACGCCTCAAAGCCCGCACAAAGTACTGCGCCTGCCACGAAAAGTGACAGTATCATCTCATGTGAGCTTCAACAAAATTTGCACCACACCACACGTAGTACCACACGTTTGGAATGATTTCGACCCGTTCTGAGCACATTCGCATCCACCAAAATCGCCACTTCAGCTGAGACTTGTCACGGAAGCAGAGCTTCGATGCCACACCCTGAAACGCAAATCTCAATGGCACGGCCACATCCAACACCCCAAAAACACGACTCTCCAAACGCTAATCCCAATGGAATACCGACACAAACGTGTCACTTTCACGAAACCCTGTGCCTGTGCAGCGAAATGCATCACGTTTCTTGCGCGACATGTCACTTTCATGCAAATCACAATGTAATAGCGGCGCAAACTGACACGTGACACATCCATGAAAAGTCACTTAGCAAAAGCTTCCCCCAATGGCAGGGCCATAGAGACATCATACGGACGGTTGCAAACGGTTGCAAACGGTTGCGAACTCGAAAACAACGTCGGGCAAACACAGCTCTACCCTCAGACTCCCAAGTTAAACGAGAACCCTTCGCTACGCATTCGGGAAAAACAGAAACACAACAACGCAAACTTTGGAACTGCTCCTGCTCACGGACCTCGTACATCTTCAAGGCCTGAAGACAAACACATTGTCGTACATGGTATAGGAGCAAAAAAAAGGGGTCCTAGGCGGTCACCATGTCAAATGCGGATCCCTCAAGCAATCCTCCGAAGTGGATGGCCCGGCCGGGAGAAAAACGAACCTCCAACTCTACACCCACGGGAGGTCCGGGAAGAGGGGAGGACAACGGTCCGCGTCCGGAGGGATGGAGACAACGTGGGAGACCCTAATCCAACCGTTGATCACGAGGCTTTGGAACCAAGTCATGAGCAGATTGAGAACGCCAACTCGTTCCATTCTTGGACTCGTTCCGATCCACCGGGTACATGGAGAACAAACCGACCTTCAGCCGCTCAATCTCCATCATGGCATCCAAATGACGCTCCTGGAGTGTGAAGCGGTCCAGTACCGAGTCTGTGGGGCGTCCGATCGCGTGCGAGTGGGGCCGCTGACTTTCAAGAGGCCAAAGGAAAAACAACGCAACACATTGAGTTGGAAGATCCAGGTATGCACATGGTAGCACAATTTTAGATGGAGTGCTTCTGGAACTGCCGAATTTGAGCATGGTGAATCGAATTCTGTGATATTATGTGAATCTTCTGGGATTGGGATGCATTTCATGTCAACTTGGGCGAGTAAAACTTCAAGTCATACCCACACAGCTTCCTCAAATAAAGCCTCTTGTAGTCATTCCAAAACACCTTGTGTCACACGTGGTGTTGCACGTCATGTCATAGTTCTCTGTGCCGAAACCCTTTAAATAGAACCAGTAACCCTCATAGCCCTCGCCATTTCTGTACTGCACTGCAAACGTCCTGAGAAAATGCAAGTACTTTGTGTCGTGTTCATCTTGCTCTTGCTTCATGTGTTCTTGTGTTTGGATTTGAATCTGCGCGTGCTTTCCAAGGTTTGGAGCCGCCTATCGTCTGGGTGATTCATGGTTTTCATTGTTACAGGGCCACGTTCACACATCTTGAGAGCTGATTCATGATCGTGCGCTTCAGGATGCCCGGAAAAAAGCGTTGCTCACCTCTTCTTCCCGCTCTGATTGCACCATTCGCCTTAGCAGCAATGTCCATTCCAATCAACAAAAAAACACACATTTGACACGTTCACAGCGAGTGCCACAGGTACCCCCTTGCACGAAACGATCGCATGGACCAGTCACAAGGACCCCACAACCCTACGGTCCGTAGTTTTGATTTTCCCCTACAACCCTGTGACTGTGGTTTTGAGAGTCCACGTTCATCTGCGGGAAGGCATACCTTTTGAGGATGCCAATTCACCGGCCGTCTGAACAAAAATAAGGAGAAAAGAGTCGAGTCATTAGATCATTAGATGTCATTATAGCGTGCATGTCAAGACACTTCTCCTGGATTTGCGCATCTCGGATGGTCACAATCTTTGAGTACAACATCATCTGGTTCATATGCTTCACCTCAGCACGTGACGGCTGAAACCAATCGACGCCTCGTGGTGATGCCTTGTCCGACTCCGCAAATTGGCGCGTTTTGGGCGCCCAAGCAAGAACAGACCGGTGACCCGTCCAAAAAAACCAGACCCCACACACCAAACAGAGTTGCCCCTCCATTGACACCAACAAAAAGGCGACCAACAACCACACTCCATGTGGGCATGGACCATTTATTTGCTGGGTTCTCCATGTGGGCATTGAATACCGTATGATCTCTCATGCGAAACCCGACCGCAGTCTCCGGTCTCCGACCGGTCGACCGAAACGACCGTGTTCTCCCGAGTGGCGTCGTCCATGTCTTCATCCAACATTTGCTTCGCCCGTTCCAGCACGCCGCCCTTGGGGCCACGCGCGTCCTGGAAGCGCGACGGAACGAAAAGGAACGAAACGGTGGTTCCGTCTGCGGTTCGGCAAAGCGGCTGGAAAGCAGAGGACGAAATCGGACGGTCGCCGAATGGCACGAAACAACGCCCTCCTTGGCGTTTTCGCTCTGGATAGCATTCCTTTTCCGTTCTTCTTCCATCTGCCTGGCGCGTCTCAACATCAAACATCGTTTTCTGATTTTTCTGATGTCTTCTGCCATTTGACCACTTGCCAAGCTCGATTTGGCTGACATCGCCTAATCCTCTCTTTGCGCGCAATGGATTTGGCTTGCCGTTCCGCCAACGCCTGGCCGTTCCGCCAACGCCAACGCCGAAGACGACGTCGTTCTCGGCGCTGGGACGACACGCGGCGCCGTGGCGACCGGGGCGACGGACGGCGTCCCGGTGCGTCCAAACGCCTCCTCCTCGCGCTGCTTCTGCTCAATCTCCTCTGAGCTGTAGGCAGTTGCAATACGAGTCGATAAAGTCGATGTACTAGTCGATGCCTATTGGTTCGTGAAGATCGAACAAAGGTGAGACCGCTGGGATTCATCGTCTCAAAAGGAGTCCTCCTCTTTCGTCAGAAGCGTTGCATTCTGTCCTGACTTCTCTCACTTGCTCACTCCACACCATGAACTGTGGCAAAGAGATTCAAGCAACCCCCATGTACATCCATGTACCATGCATGAGGAGACTCTTCATCTGATTCCTGAAATGTTTTCAAGAAACTTCAGCTGAGCTGTCCCAGAACTTCCAATGACTTATGAATCATTATGAACTACCCACCTGGTAACTGGACTTCTAGGGTGAGCTGTACCTTCACAACTTTTTTCGAAAACGCTGAGCCCTCTGGCGCAAGCGGTTGAGCTCCGACGCTGCGATGACCACTGCCTGATCCTTGAGGCTAGCTTTTGCATGCCTGCAGGCAAAGAAAACCCATGAAGTGAACGTGTCCAACTGCTTATTGTTGTGTAGACCCATTGCCAGTGACAGCAGTGGAATTGGTTAGCCCAACATGTCTGCCGAACTGGGCGATCTGTTTTCTTTTTTATAGATCAAAAGGCAACGTTGCGTTGCACACAGTTAGACGATCTATGCCACTTTTAAGTATCCAAAAGCTACCAGAGGAGACCTGTTGGAGGGTGCTGGTATAGGATACATGTGTATGCATTATTGTTGTCATTTATGGTGTATTTTTGTATATATATATATGTCTAAATCTCGGAGGACCCCCAACCAATGGATTTTGGCCAAGCATGGTGAATCGTCAATCGTCCTTCTTGATGTGGGGATCTTTGGAAGGGTCTCCCTTTTTCTAACACAAACCCATGGACTATGACTACTGGTCATTCACAATCGACATGGAACCATGGCCTCTGTGAAAAGGACATGAGGATCCATTTTTCATGGCCCAGTGATCTGTCGCCTAGAGGGAGAACATCTCAAGAGCTTTCGCAACTAAACACACTCTTGTGTAAGAGGAGAACACGCACGAATCATCGCCCATCCAACCAAAAATGCACCCATCTCTCTAACATCAGAAGGAAAAAAAGAAAAAGAACGGGGAGAAAGGGAATGGCATGGAATGGCTATATCTGCCAGCTCTGCCTGTCATATCTCTTTCGCACCATGACAGTGTCCTTGCCCACAATCATCACTTCTTTCCCATCCTTCTCCTCGCCCTTGCGAGTTCGGTCGGCCTGACAGCGCGCAAAAACGCGACCCGCGTCTCGAGCCGTCTCCGATCTCGTGGACTGCGGAGCCCCGGATCGTAGCTTCTTGTTAGTTAGTAAGAATGCTCCGTTCGTAGTAAGGCCAGGAGCTGCTATAGAAGCATCCTTGCTCCTAGTGGAGCCCCGTATACTAGCATCCTTGCTCCGTTCGTAGCGATGCCAGGAGCCCCGTTCGTAGCGAACCTTGCTGCCAAGCCACGCCAAAGAGAGTCTCATCCACATCTGCGTTGTGGTTGACCGTGCCTTGGTCGATACGGGAGACATGATGCACCAAGCTAGAAAAAGCACGGAAAGGCAAGCACGGAAAGCTATAGAGAACCCAATTGGTTTTGTCCGGATGCAAACGTGAAAATCTCGATGATGCAACGACAATAAGTAAATGGAATACCCTTTGTAAAAGAAACTGATCTTCTGGGGAATTGATGTCAGATGTTCAAATTTCCCCATTGATGGTCGCTGTCAGTGAGCCCGTGCATCTCCAAAGTTATAGCGCTATTTTGGCCGATGTTGGCAATCTCTTCCGTGGCGACCATGTGATATAGAGATGCATAGAGTGCAGATTGCCCAAGAAGTTCCCAAATTCAGTTGGGACGCGATAGCGCGGCTGGCTTTTGCCGCTGCCGGTGGACATTGCCGCGACAGAGCCAGGCATGATCCTTGGTGCTATCAGTAAGAGGCTCTACAAATGCTTGGTTGATCTTGGGTGATTCACTCATCTCCTATTGGTCACACGAGCTTGTTCAATACCCATGCGCATCTGCACTGGAGTAACTGGCACGGGACGTAGCAAGACTATGGTCGAAACCATTGAATACCCTGGAAGTCCAGTCATGACTCATTTTATCCCTCAGCAAGTGGTGGACCATGACTGCCAGGTAGGGTAGAATGAGTGACGTTCTGGGATACTTGACTTAGATCGAAACATCGTAAGAACATGTAAGATCAGACTATGCCTCCGGCGCCAAGGCTTCCACAACTGAACCTGCAGCGATGGCAGACTGCGTACTCGGTGCACATATAGAGATACTGCTGGTTTGCAATCTCTCACGATAGATGTCGATCGCCCCATCCTTCAAAATTCCTGACCAGGGAAAACACAAAAAAGTCTTTAGATGTCTTTAGGAACGGCTAAATCTAGATCACCTCTTCCGCCCTCACCGCTCCAGCTCTATAAGCAGGTTTCCTCTCCACACACTGTGATCAAACAAAAAAAAGCAACTATATACCAGGACCCTCCAAGGGGTGTCTATTTATAGCCCCTTAGCTGTTAAGGAGTGTCCATTAACCACCCCTTGAAGGCCCTGGTATAAATATATATATATATATTTATATAAGTGTAGTGCGGCAAAGGTCGGAAAGGACCATCATCAGGACTCAGGTTCACACCTCACGTACACTCCTTCGGAAGCAACCCAAAGAGCTGCGACCGACTCGTTGAAAACTGGCCGTTTGGAGCCGTTCTTTTTCTGGAAACGGCTACGCGGAGGATTGATCGTGATAGCCGGCTGAGGAACTTGACTTGAGACCCTTGGCGGTCTTAAACTTTCAGCCACAGGAAGTGCTAGTCAGCATCTAAGAGAAGGAAACTGCCCGTTGCTTGCCGCAGCATCGACACAAGTTGAACTTCATGGGCAGCTTTGCTGTGAAATCATCAATCAGGTCATGCTGAAAATGGTCCTTCCTTTTGAATTTCTCTCTGATGTCTTCGCGATGCCTTTGCACCAAGTCCAGCTGTTCTAGCCACAGTCTCAGGGGGGTGGAGTAGGTCCTGCGCAATCCAAAACAAACAGCGATTCGAAACCCCCCCCAAAAAGGGAGGATAGCGAAGCACAAGCAGCATATGCAAAAACACTATAGCAAAGCTTTCTGCCACGCATCACAGGGTCGGCAGAGCTACCAAGTTCCTGGACTCGAGGCACCATAATGTTTCCACCATTCCACGTAGTCCTCGACCCGAGCGACGGCTGGGCTCCGTGGAGAACGGAGGCCGTTTGGAAGGAACCGAACGCCAGGCAATTGAGAATTTCAGCCGGACCTCGGCCCTCGGCGGGACATACTATAATATATGCTAATTTTGTTAATTTTTATTATATATATATATATAGTAGACCCCCAAATAGATAGAGAAGTAGATCCCCACTATAAGAATGTATTGGAAAGCCTTTCTATCTATTTGGGGACCAGTACACTATAAAGGCATGTGACACACACACACACACACACACGATACATTTGGCGGGTTTCTGCTCCTCGTACTGCATGCTCAAAAAGAAGTCCACCTGCTTCTCAAAACCTTACATCTCAAGAGAAATTCCTGAGGTGAGATCCTGATCCGTTTTGGTCCAGTGCGTGGGGTACAACCTGGGAGCCCTCACCATCTTCCAGCGGGTGAGGAGCGTGCTGAAATTTCCTGGCACGGACTTGACAAGGGCCGAATATTCGTGTGTATATATTGATTATCTAAAGCAAACAATCAAACCCATCGTCTTCGTCCAAATCGATGACTTCTCAGTCTTGCTCAAACATCGCTGTGCTCGCCCCTCGCCATCGCTGGGGTCGCGTAGCGGACCCACCTCCTCTTGATTGAACCGCCTCAGGCGTCGAGAGACTTCGAAGCACGGAGTGATTTCGGTTCTGAGAGGGCGACCATCAGCACCTCAGGTGGGGTGGGGGTATGTTGAGTCGTAGGTTCTTTCGCTCCATGCAGGTCGGAACCTAAGTGTTTTTGTTTTTCTCAAGTGCATCGAAGATTCTAGCTTGGAAGGAAGACACCTGGCCATTCAAAACATGTTGCAGGTACTGTCGGTATTGTGTTAAAAGTTAAAACACCACGTTTGCAACAAATGCAAGGCGTTGAATGGTTAATTGAAATCCACCACCAAATTGAGCTGTAGCAGCTAAATTCGATATCGCGTGTTAACCTCACCGTATACGTCAATGATGGAGGGACTGTGCAGGTCGGCTGCATGCCATGCCATTGTCTTAAGCTCATGAACCACACTGGGCCTCTTGAAGTGGGAAACTATCAGGTTGGTCAATGTGCTTGTCGATCATGGAGCACAGCCTGTCGAAGTGGAGACGACCGGTGCGACTCCGGCGGAGGAAGGTGAGAAAAGAGAGGAGAGGAATAGGTGAGAAGAGCGAGAAGTTCCAAGCGGCTTTAGAAAGAACTGGCTGTAACCCTCTGTCCATGTCTCTCCGAACAACACGAAACCAGGATTTGCCAATAATGAAGGGAGAGGCTTTTGGCCGAAATGTTAAGATTGTAATTGCTATATAGAGATTAGATTTGTTGTTTTTACTTTTTTTCATTTGGCGTCGGTAGGTAGTTCCTTCAGTAATGTGTGAGCGTACAAATGTAGCCTGATTTCGTCCTTGTCCTGGGTTTTGCTAGGTAGTTCCTTTATGTTCCTTTTAGAGTTGAGTATGCATCACGGCTTCCTCCTTGCCACCAAGAGCAGCTTGAAACGATCGAGGTGGAGATGCACTTGAAACTGTTGATCATCCTTGTGGCATACGTACATGTTTTGATGCTCTGTTCAATGCAGCCCCTTTTACATCTTCACGATCTCCGGAGGCACTTTACTCTCCTCCTCCGGCGTGGCGCTCCCGCGCGCTGCACGAGTTGCCCGCCCGCGGGGGGTTTTCTCCGCCTCCCCGAGCTCCAGCAGAAAGCCACCGAAGAGGCCCAACGCCCACTGCAGCACTCGCAGCGCACCCTCGCCCAGGTGCAGCCAGCTCGTCGTGGCGTCCAGGAGTTGGTGCGGGGACAGGAGCAGCTGGACCAGGCCGAGGAGCCGTGGCCGCTGCGCCAGTTGGAGGAAGCCCAGGGAAGCGAAGACGACCCAACGCCAAAGCTGGAGATCTTCTGGAAGCCCGAGCCGCAGCTGAAGGGAAAAGGAGAAGCTCAGAGGAAACACTGCGAAGGCCCAAGTCTTGAGGTCTTCCCAATCTTCGCAACATCGTGGCTGGAGCAAGTGCCAGGTAGGCCATAAGCTAATATATAGATCAGTAGAGAAGTGAAAATTCATGCAGATGAATTAGCATCAATCAGCAGCCGGATGACCACCACCATGCTGTAAATCCACAGAAACAGTATGAAACCGTTGTAAAATGGCTCGGGCTTCGACAACATAAGCCAGCGGATAGAAGCACGGTTGGGAGCAGAAGTAGCTCAGCGACGACTAGGTCCCTCTGGACACTAGACATAGGCCGGAGAAGTCAAGATCACTGGCATTTTGCCACGTGGGTTCCCCCCCACTTGGCAGGGCATAGACGCTTTCAGGTAGAGGGTGTCCCTCACTGAAAGGGCACAACAGAAGCAGAAGGTTGAATTTTAGGGGGGTTGGAATCCCAGCCTGTGGAACTTGCGGGCCCCCCCGACCTGTGGAACGCAAGAGCAAAGTTCTGAGTTTGGGGTTTCTTGATCATCCACCGCCCAGCACATGCTTCGACGTCAGCGCATGATGGAGAGTCAGCAGCCGGCACTTCCTCAACCCTTGGACCTGGAGCCAGAGAAGGAAGGTTTTCAAGGGGTCAGGGTCAAGAGGGTGAAGGTAGGATGGAAGAAGGAAAGGATGGTATACCGATGCCCTTGCTACTAGTAGCGATGCCTTTGTTACTAGTAGTGTCCAAGAGGGAAGAAAAGAATTGAGCACCCCAACGAAGTCACCCACGTTCGTCTCCTGGTGTTGCTCGAGGGCCCCGGGTCCCAAGATCAACAGTGCGATCGCACCTCGACTCGCTCCACAGGGCTGTTACAGCCACGCAGCCACTGAGTGACACAGGACCAGCTCTGTGAAATGCAGAGCAAATTGCTTTCAGATTTTGCAAATCCGATAGCATGACTCTGCCTGAGCCATACTGAGTTGGGTGGGGTCCCAGCGGTGGTAGACAAAAGATTGTTTTCATGGCTGGAAAAAGTGGCTGCAGAGCTTGCAAGCTTTTGGTCTGAGCACCCAGCTGATGACCCCAAGCTGGTAGGCAATCCCATCATGGATGATTCTTTGGTCCTTTGATACGCTGTACCACCTGTTGCTGCCACCGTGCCATCTAAGGAAAAAAGGAAGAGTTGAGATAAGTTGGGTTGAGTTGAGTTGAGCGATAGAAGTGGTAGAGTTGAAATGATGAGTCAAGTTGAGTTGAGTTGAATTGATTGAGTTGAGTTGAGTTGAGTTGAGTTGAGTTGAGTTGGAAGGAAGGAAGGAAGGAGTTGATGAGAATATGAAGATGATGAGAAGATAAAGATGATGAGTGAGTGAGATGAGATGATGAGAAGAAGGAGGGCGGGAGGAGGCGGGAAGGAAGGAGGATGTGCCCGGCAAAAGCAAGAACCCCAACCCCACACAAAGATGTGGGGATAATCAAACATATAATAGTTTATATTGGATCTATCCTAATACCGTATACCGTATACCTGCAACAGTGGATGATGATGGTTAGTAAAGGCCTGGTTCAAAAATAGTTTACTGACTCTTACAGGTTATAGGACAGACCTAAATAACAAATATACATATCAAATCATATCAATAATTAATCGCCCTCCGAGGCTATTTGGGCCAGATGGACGATTTCAGCTCAATGAACCATCATGACCCCGCTAACCAAAGGCACTTGCCTGTGGCCGACACTGTTGGCGAGCTCCTGACATGCAAATGCATTTCACTTGGATTGGAGACATATTGGAAAACAAGTTCCAGGATGAGTGAAATTTATCCATGCTACCCTCGTACCACCGATTTCGGCGTCCCCGGTCGGTCAACCTACTCCGGACCACCTACTCTCGACCACGGTCGATCCGACCGATGTTGCGATGAGAAAGTGCATCGTCCGCTCCTGTCCATCCCGCGACATGGTCACTTTACCATCCTCTGCCAGGGGATTTCGAAGGTGCTGCACCTCGATCGGGCGGATCCGGCCGTTGACGAAACCACGGACGAGTCGGAAAGACGACCGATTGCTGTACGACCGCGCCGTTGGCGTTGACACGCGACTGCAAGGTCCAAACGCGAAAGAACAAGACAACGGCGACAGATCGGGCGGATCGCCAGTCGTCCCGCCTCACGGAAAGGAAGATCATAGAGGCGAAGCCTGTACAGGTGTCTGACAAGAATCATATCCATCCGCCAGGAGCACCACCTTTCTCCCAACAAAAACAAATCCACTCGTTTGCCTACGAATTAATCGATTCGTTGCTTGGATCGAATTCCGGCCGTCCGCTCAAGTTGTAGGGTGCGGGGACGACTTGACAGTCGTCGGCTGGCTGTTCACCCCCCCGTGTATTGTTGGGGCAAAGCTTTGTGAGATTGAACTTGAAGAAGCACCACATGTCGTATAATACCATATACACACCATGAGTCGACGATCTTTCTATATATATATATTCTTTATATGACCATGCCCAAGTGGTGAGACTTGACCTTGGCCGAAAAATCTCAGGAATGAACCTCTGCCATGCGAGTCTGCAGCATCTAGTGAGGGCAGTTGAAGCCCGACAAAAACATCAGGTCTCACTCCTGCTGCTCAGAGCCATGAAGAGATGTGAGACTAGAGTCTGATGAGATCCTATGACTATGAGTCTTGAGGGACATGAGCCTAGACAAAGCTTTTCACCTTCGCCCAAACGAACTCAGACTTCCGCCTACATTCATTTTCACTGGATCTACCATGCATGCACGTGAGATCCACTTCCAGTCTTTTTAGCTGAGCTTCTTCGAGCTTCTTCGAATCAAGTATAGGGCAAGTTTAGTATCCGATATGCCAATCTGCTTCATCGGATCAAGCAGTCGACTACAGGCATGCAAATATAGCAGCAGCTCTTCAATACATGCCGCCAATTGCCGCCAAGGGCCAACATGGAAAAATGAAAATATAAAGTGCAAAAACAAATGCAAAAAGAAGTTGCTCAACATTCGCTGAGCACTTCCAACAGTCGTAGGCCATCGTGCTTCACTAGCCAGCAGCTGGTGAAAAGTGCCCCACTCAAAGCAAAGGTTGCGGTCATCATCACCCAATGCTTGTCGTACATCTTCATGAGTTGTTTGGCCCTCTCTAGTCCAATCCCCCAAGAAGTGCACAACACCACATCCACGGTCGTCAAAGCACACGTCCACCCCAACTTCACCAGGATGCACACCACAGTGATATTCATGTGCTCAGCTGTGGTACAATCGAAGAGGTAGTAGTACTGACGGTTCGGATTGCGATCGTCCATCAGCCAAATAAGTGGAGGTAGTGCGACCAGCACGGGCCAAAACCGCGCCACATCAACTTCACACTGGGACCACAAGGCCTCACGGGTTTCTTGGCTGATGCCTTCTCCCTTGCTCCTGGCAGCCATCGCTACTAGGTGGGAGGCCCATTGCTACCAGGTTGGAGGCCATCGCTACTACGTTGGAGGCCCTCACTATGAGGTGGGAGGCCATCACTATTGGGAGGCCACCACCGGTTAGGCATATAGGTAGACGACAGTCCGGACGATAATAAAGCAACAAGCGACAAAAGACCAAGAGAGCGATGAACACCAAGGACGACAAACACACAAGACGTCTCCGTACGTCTCCTGTCTGAGACGACGCATTTCCAAAGGACTCGCAATTGGAGAGCAGCTCCGATGGTGTCGACAATCACGACTCCCACAAGGGCCCACCAAGAGTTCGTGCTGGGGAACAGGATCACCTGGCCAATGAAGCGCTGAAAAGTGTCCCACACTTCTTTGCAAGGTACATTCATTGCAGTCGCAAGTGTCACATGGACATGACAAGAATATGCTATAACTTTCACATCTGTGCTTCCATGAAAAAAATGTCTTCAAAACGGCGAAAAGTCTGGTTTCAACGAACATGCTTCAATTCTCAACTTGGAGGAAGCTCGACATTCGGTTCTCACCTCCGAGAATGTCAGCAAGCAGGAGAAGACCAAGGAATTACCCACCTGTCGGCGTTTGGTGAGTTCAGCGCGAACCGCCGGTCGCGACGGTGGTGAGTTCAGTGGAGCTCGCGCGTGTGGTCGTGCCGAGTTCAAGCGCCCCAAGGGTCTGAGAGTGGTTCACTGTAAGACGCGGTCACGACATGCTGCTATAGGAAAAACAGAATTCTTCACATCTTCGAAGTACTTCAGGATGGAAGTTTCAAACAAAACAAGTGGTTCCAAGTCGTAAGTACCCCAAGAAAGACCTCCGCATTGAACCAAACCTGCTATAGCACTGGAAAAGTGGCAGCCCATAACAGCCCTCAAAAGACGTAGTACCCCCTTTTCAGACGTGTCGAACTACCTACTTGTGGTTGTGAACAGTACCCATCAGACGCGAAAATGGCCTGGTAGTAGTGCTCGAGGCTGTAGCCTGCCCATGGAATCAGAATTTGCAGTACCTGGAAGCCAAATATGGCGAGATCTGGTGAGGGATGGCCAAGGAATGTGAGAGGTTCTGTCCCTAAAACAGTTCCTGGCCTTGTCAGAAACGATCCCCACCACTTCCATCAGGATCCATGATGCCAGGGCAGCACAAAGAATCAGCACGGGGGTGTTGAAGAATGCGCTGGCGAAGACAATGCCGCACAGGAGCAGCACAGGTGCAAGCGTAAGGAAGTTGTAGGCAAAAATGAGTATAAGGGTCTTGACGTTCCAGTAGCTTCGATCGGCTAGGACCAGGAACAGCCAGTCCACCATGGCAAAGGTTGGAGGAGCACCATAAAGCATGTTGTAGGAGTAGATGAGGTTTGTTCCCCATGGCACGGCGCACAAGAAGTAGCCAGTGCACCAACCAAAGATCACCAAGAGGTAGAAGATCACCCTCTTGGCCGTGTCTTGCCAGGTGACTTTGCCAAGATAACTGATGGCACTGGAAGACCTGGCCATCTCCTTCCCATCTGCTGGGCGCACCAAGAGGAGCTCGAGGCGTCGGTATTGTCCTAGCACAGGTGTTTTCTGGAACACAGTGGAACACTTCGTGTGTCACACCTCCGTACCCTCACCATGTGTCTGAAAAATCACCCAAACCACCCGAAATGGTGTGTTTTCTGTGTGTTCGTGTGCTGTAAAGAACATCCTACAGACCCTCGAAATCAAAGGGTCACATGCAGACCCTGTCGACGCATGTCTGCAGATCATTTGGGCAAAGCAATGTCCACTCACAACAAGCAATGCCAACAAGCGACCGGGGAGGTAGTAGACGATCACGAAGATGTTGTACCCATAAAAGAAGGACATGTTGCCAAGCGCTCCCAAGTTCGGATCATTGATAGGGATCAGCAAGGGAAGGGGCACTGCGATGACTGAGAACACCAAAACGAAGAGGAATTGCACCATAAATTTCTGCTGCTGCGTAAGGCACCCCCATTCAACAGCTGGTGCTGCCTCTTGGGCCATGCTCAATGCAGTCCTCATGAGCTTCCAACTGTCAATGCAAGACATGGAAAAATATGAGCAAATGCGTAGCATCAGCTGAGTCATGTGTTCATACAAAGCACAAATTTGTCATGTCATGTTGGGAGGACCTATGTGCGATATCTTCTTTAAAGGACATGCTTTACTGCAAGCAACCTGAAAAACCTCTTCATGCCTCTTCTAATATGATCTTACAGTGATCTCGTTCTCTTCCATGTTGTTCGGAACGACATTCTGTTGTCGATGAACATACTGGAAGCTTGCACTACTTGAGGCGGCAGAAATTCTGCTCTGCGTCTTTCTTCGGAGCCGAGCTGCTCACACTGGGCTTTCAACTGCTTGATCTGAACTGCCTGCAGCTCGATCGCCGTCCCTTGCTTTTCCATCTCAGCATCTCGCTTCTCGAGCTGCTCTTTCATGGTAGACCTTATAAGCCGACCACGGTGAAAGGTGACCCTCAACTGCATGAGCTGTGGGGAATTAACCCACGAAGGTGGACTGGGCAGAAATCTTTGGAATTCTGGTGGTTCACAGCGACTGGAGTTGACTTGTCTGCAGCCACAAGTGGCACTTGTTGAGTCAGCTCGTCAATCTTCACCTGACCTCCACAAGCAACTGTTTCAGCGCTGTTCCAGCGGCACAATCCGACCTAGCTGACCAACCTTGTAGGGTTCATTTTTGCTAAAGCCTGTGGCCCTGCCTCCTCACTCAATGAAGTAATTAAGCGCCTACTTAATTAAGATCAATTAAGTAGGGAGGTAAGCTCCTAGGTAGGACGCAGGATAGCTCACGCTCGCAGCATTTGGTAGCTGTGATTGATCATGTCCCGATCGAAACGGTCTTTCCGTCCTTCAGGCTGCAAGTTCACGTTGAAGGCCTCAACAGCCACCAGCTCCGCATCATCCGGTTGCGCACAGCATGCCATGTCTGTCTGTGCTGACAATCCTGCTCTTCCTTCCGCTGAGGGCTTGGTTAGCAAAATCCTGCGAGACCATGCCAGCAGTTGTGTAAAGCCCCCCCTCGGGTCGGGGAACAAACATTGGGCATCATTGGGGCGAATCGGGTGTCCCTGACAAAAATCCCAGAACTTCCAATGACTCACCTTACCCCACCTGGAAGTCATAATCCACCACCATAGGGTGTAAAGTGAGTCATGACTGGACTCTCAGGGTTAATAACACGCCCTTAAAAAACTACACGTTCTCCCATGGTGAAAAAACACCTCGCTCCAGTCCAGGGTTCCCGAAAAGTGTGGTCCGTGGACAACCGACGCCCGGCGCACCACTCGACGTCGAAGAGTCGCCCGAAGCCGTTGAAGGGATCAGCACCTGACAAACGAGACCCATCACGTCCTGTCCCTCGGTCGACCAGGACAAAACCGCGAGGAGACGACGACTGAAACGAGAGGACGAGGTCTCGGGGAGAGTAAAAGAAGAGAACTTCCTTTGCTTCACGTGAAGCAGGCATTGGTAAAAAAAGAACATTGACAAAACTCCATAGTTAAATGTAAAGATGTAGTATGTTCTATATGATTGTAATAAATATGTATCGTGTCTATGTAGTTCTTTGGACTTCTAGGGTCATGATCTGCGCGGCCACAACAAAGCTGGGTGTCTTTTCGTTTGAGAAGGGGCCTTTGAGCTTCGATCGGCCCACAGCACTCCTCATCTGTGCGTATCCTCAGATTGGAAGATTGAAAGTTTCAGCTGAAAGATGAGTTGATGTTGTTATTTGTGGAAACCAAAGCTGGAAATTGATGACCGATTGAAAGTTTCAGCTGCTGCAAGCTGCTGCGCCATCAACCATTCTTTTGCGGCATCAATGGGTCTTTCTACGACATGCCACTCTGTGACTCGCTTCTGTCCCACCTTGATAAGCTTCGCTTCGTTGCACGGAGAAGAGCAAAATCACTTGAGCCCCACTCCTGTAGGCCTGGATTTGGCTCGATTTTTCACCCTTCAATCATGAAGGCTAAACGGAGGGTGTGTGGAGAAAGGGGGTCAGCAGAATTCGCTTATACGAAGTTAGTGCATCAAAAATACCTTCCACGAAGTTCTGTGAAGGTTTCTGGGATTTCGTTGCAGTCAGTTCTCCTACTGGCCCACCATTCCACGAACTGTCCACGAACAGCCTTGGGTTCTACGAAGGTCACGCGCCTTCCACGACGTTAGTAGAATAGGTTTTTGCAAAACCCTTTCTGTGCACTACCCTTCCGTTTGCCTTTGAAATCACCGCGACTCCACGTTGCGGTTCGGCTTTCCACTGAAGCGTACTCGGCCTCATCGAGCTTCGACTCGTTCTTGCGCTGCGTCGCCCAGACGTTGTGACCTGAAACCGAAAAGGCTCGGCCGTGGACCGACAGCTCAGCCGACGGCCGCTGTCCGCTCCGAGGTTTGGACGGACTGATCGAACCACCTCGAAGTGACACGAAGTGACACAAAGACGCCAAGGGGCGAACGGACATCGCAACTTGCTGGTCTTAAGCTGACACGGGGGGTGTGGAGGGCAGACCCTAACCCGAAAGCGAAGCAACCAAGAAGCAATGCGGCAAGTTGGTATTGATATTTATACAATTTTATACATATACAAGCTACAATCGCAAGCAAAGCAATAGGAACACTTAAAAACTCAACACAAACAATACCTTTCAACAAAGATCTTTAAAAGGCACCATATTTCAGTGGCCAGCCCGGAACCTCCACATCAATCTACGCAGGTTTAGGTGCCCAGCATTCTCAGCACTGTTGCCTCAGAAGCCAAGTTGGTGCGCCGGAAAAAGCCGCGCCGGGAAACACATACTCCACAACCTTCACCCCTGCGATGCCAACGACCGCGTTCACCCCTGGCGAATCGCCCGTTCACCGAAACGAACCGAGTGGATCCTCTGGCCGGTCTGGAACTCAGTGACGGGCTCGTGATGACGAAGTAGCGAGCATTTTCTCGCACAGCCTGACGTCCCAAAGAGTTCATGGATAATCCTCAAAGGAACTCCATGTTCTCTCCCAAACCCTACACAAATGCTGTTGTGTTGGTCATCTGTGAGAGGAACAAGAACCATAATTGATCATCGGTTACATCGCTCACTCTTCAGGCTCGCTCCACTTGCCTTCGGCTCCGATCTGCTTTTCCTCGCGCTTTCTGAGACCTGCAGCCCCGTGCCGTCCTGCCTTCACCCTCGCGATCCGCCGGACCGTGTCTCTCAAGGCTCACTCAGCGATCCTGAAGGTCTCTGGGACTCGCACGTCAAAGGGCGAAGGTGCTGCGGAATTGTTCAGTTCCACCTGCTCCGGTGCTTGGAGGAGGACTCGCGTGGTGTTTGCTCGCGCGTGTTTGCTCGCGCGTGGGACGCTCGCGCCGATTCCAGGGCCTCATCGAAGGGCGAGACCAAGGTGTGCTCCACCTAACGCCAGAGTGTGCCCCGGGCGGGTGGAACAGTTCCAGTTCCAGTTCCACGTCGTCCAACACAGGAGACTGGGGAGGGGGGAGGGGAGTTCCAGTTCCACTTCCAGTTCCAATTCTGGGCCCGGGTCTGGACGTGATTGCCAATGTCAGTTTAGCGTCGATTGTTTTTTCGGGGGGGGGGGTGGAGTTCCAGTTCCACTTCCAGTTCCAGTTCTGGGCTCGGGTGTGGACGTGATTGCCAACGTCAGTTTAGCGTCGATGTTTTTTTTCTGGGGGGGGGTCCAGTTCCAGTTCGAGTTCCAGTTCCAGCGGGGTACACTATGCCTAACGCTGACATTGACATCCCCATTCAATCCATGTATGATCGATCAAGTGTTTGCCAACATGTCTGTCTTTTCAGGCTCTTCCGGGGTCGTATATGTGACAGTGATGTGACTGTGATGTTTGTTTTAAGGGTCGTTTGGAACGGGGAAAAACACTGTCAGTCCCAATGGGATTCGCTCGCTGCATCCGTTTATAACTCTCTCGCTGCTGCCCGGACCTTCTGCGCCTTTCCGGGCCTCGGCTTGGACACATCACGTCCAAGGAAGGCGACGCCGTGGCTCGGTGTCCCGAACATAACTCCAAGGGTTGTAAGGAAGGGAAACAAGTGGAGGTTGGTCAGCGCGACATCCTCAAATTTGGGGGGTGAATTTCAGTGTGTTGGAGGCCATCGCTAGTAGGTTGGAGGCCATTATGTGATGGATAAGGTCGGTCCTCTTTCCATTCAAACCGGAGAGGCCGACCCAAACCATACAATCCCTGTGTGTGTTTTGTCCTCATAAATGGCACTACTTGCATTGAGCCCAGGGAATTGAACGGCTTTTACAGAGTTGCCGGAACGGCCGCCGGGCCGCCGTTCGGCAATCGAACCGCCGTTTCTCAGGTTCGGAGCCGGGTACGGTTGCCTGAGCTGAGGTCCCCACTTGGCAACGTTGGCTGCCGGCATGGCGGCATCTAGGGGGGGCCCGCGAAGTCAGCGTTTGTGTCGGACAAGAAAACCACCTGGTGCAACACGTGGTTTCGTCTTGCTGTCTTGTCAGTGGGTTCTATGAAGCTCCAGGTCACATCATGACCCAACTCTTCATACCCAGCTCTGAGCAATTAGGGATCTCTTCCATCTAACGTCATGCAACTGCCTTTTGACAAAGCCGGAGCGTGGGCAAAGTTCAACAAGGCAAGTTGAGCTAGTCGCCGCATTCTTAACAACCGCTCTCGTGACATGTTTTCAACGCTAGCTAGCTGAGCTCTAAAACCATTGACACCGCAATTTTTCCTCGAGCTCTCTTCGTTGGGCCTCTGTCGAAGGTCTTTGTGGTGCAAAGTATAGTAGTACACCACTTAAGTATCAGTACTACTAGGCAGCTTGCTGCAGTGTCACGTTCTTTGACCCCCAAAAAACTGCGGACTTTCCAAACTGCACGCCATCTGACAGGACGTGCCTTGTTCAACAGGACGCTGCAGCACTCCCCAAAAAAATACAATTACGAGATGTTGTTAATCAGCGCTCCGCGACTGAGCGGTGCTCGCTCGCACAACGTCCCTTCAGAGCACCCCTACAGGTCCTCTGAATCGAGGATCCTAGATTCAGAGGGCTGGTCTGGATGATGACCAGCCAGGGCCGATGCAAATTCCACCAGCCATCAACCCTCAATGCAGTGCATGAAGAAAAACGACTGCGAAGCTGAACAGCTCAAACAGCTGCTGACACACGAAGCGCGGCCCAAACACTTGTGACTTTTGGCCAAGGTCAACGAAAAACACACCCAAGGTCAAAAAAAGGTTTGGAGGCCATCGTCAGTAGGTTGGAGGCTAGTAAGTTGGAGTCCATCGCTATTGGGTTCCTTTTGCTATTAGGAGGCCATTGCAGGTTGGATGCAACAGACTCCAGCTCTGATCAAGCCTTTTCGCTTTCTCGCTGAAAACGGATTCCGTTCACAAAGCGATTCCGCTGGCCGCGATTCCGCTGCCAACGCCCTGTCGCGAAAGCCTCCATCAACGGTGCGCCTGCCGCGAGGACATCCTCCGACCGTGTGGTTCAGCAGCTTGTCGCGCGGTGGTCTGCAGTCTGCGGCCAGGCGGGTGTTTTCACCTGTTCGAGACAGGATCGATGGGTGGCCCTGGGGAGGCCGGTAGTGGTGAACGCGCGAACGCGGCCAGAGATAGACGACAAACTGGGCCAGCTTCAGGTCTTGATCCACCAAAAAAGAATCCATATTGCATGATAGTATTTCTGGACTCAACTCACGTTTGCTCCGTTTCACTTGTTGGGACTTGCAAGTGTCGGGATTCACCTGCGTTCATCCTTCAGAGGAGGCTGCTTGAGGCTTCGCGCAGCCTGTCGGGAAGTTAACAATTCCAAGACCGCCGACAAAGAGCTGGTCGACTAGTCCTCTGATTCCAAAGAGGTTGTCCTTCTCACAATTGCTCCTCCAATACTATTTATAGACTTTTATAGATGAGTCAAAAATTTCGCCTGTAGTCCGTCGTCCACTTCCTTGGGAACATCATGGTGTCTGTGAAGCAGCGGGAAGCCATTGCAAACACCAGAAACATGAAAGTTTATCATTAGGTATCCAAGCGTATGTGCTTAAGGCCAGTGGAGACCAATTCCAACATATCTCTGATGATATCTGTCACTGGTCATTTTTTTAGGTTCTTGCCACTGGTGACTTGTGGTGACTTACTGATGGTGAAGCTCAAATCGATCTTCACAAAGTGAAGTGATGGGCCAGTGATGGGTCAAATTGTTGCTCCAATGGCTATTGAGATCCTTGACATAGGAAGTGGCTGGGACTGGGAAAAGATAACTTTGCTTTGGTTGTTTGGGGTTCCAGGTAAATATACACTATTCTACACAAACACCACCGTCTGTAGCATACTTTACAAAAGCTACTAGTAGCACCCAGCCTTCTAGTGGAACCTACGGCAGACTTACCAGGTACAAGCCTTAGAGACAGGTGTTAACACACACACACTGTGCCGCTATCGGCGCTCTGTATCCCTTACATGAAACGACTTTAGTGCAACAACTTTGTACACATAGCGCCAATATTGGCGCGCCGGCGGTTTACTAGCCACCTAAAAAGCCTTAGAAAGACAGAAAAAGAAGCAAAACAAAAGCAAACGAAAAGGGCAAGAAAGAAAGATAGGTGTAGTGACGAGGCCCACTTAGTTAAACGAAAGTAGTTAGCGAGCGGGACTTTTGTCTTAGACCGCCCGGGCAGCTAGAAGTAGGACAGGGGAAACAGAAGGAAAGGCACCAACACACAAGTGTGTTGAGTGCGATTTCCTTCTGTTACCCTAAATAGCGGGCGGGATAGCAACGGAGGCCCAGGGGCAGGGAGGTAGGGGGGAGGGTGGGATAGAATGGCCCGAAGGCCTTGCCATCATTGGCATTCAAGTCAAGCCGATTTTGGCCGGCGCACCCTTGACTGAAAGGTACCTGAAGCCTAAGGAAAGGCCTCAAGAAACGAAAAGCAACAGAAAGAGAGAAAGAACCCAAGAGCATGAAAAGCACATGCGCTGACATGTCTGAGTCCGAAGCCCCGCCTGTGATTACCTAGACGTGCAGACTGTACAGGTGAATACTTAGACACATGCATGGAAGTGCAAATCCGGTCTGGATCATGAGTCTCAGTAAGCCCTGCGGCATGAAATCATTGGTATCGAGCAGAACAGTCAAGCCAGAAGCAATCTAACGAAATGCCAAGGTGGAAACAATCCCCCAGGATCTGGGTCTATGCACATGCAGCGCCCCTCGGCGGGGATCACACCACAGCCCTCAGTGGGGAAATGCATTAGCCGGTTACTGCAGGAAACAACGTATTGGACAGCTTGTGAACAGTTTGGAAAAAGCAGGTACGTGACTCCGGCGTCCCAGAGTCATGTCACATCCAATCAGCAGCGTCTTTGTTAGGCAGTGACTGCTGAAAGGACCACTGCCCCCCCTGCCTCTTTTTTTGACTCGCGCTGTGTTTGTTTCAGTTTGGTTCCTAGTAGTAAGGCCAGAAGCTACTAGTAGCACCCAGCCTTCTAGTGGAACCTACGGCAGACTTACCAGGTACAAACCTTAGAGACAGGTGTTAACACACACACACACACACACCTCACCTCACCTCACCTCGCTCATCTTAGCACTGATAAATCTCTCTCTACATCGATCTCCATGCACTGATCACTACTTGTAACTAGTACCCCAAACATCCTAGACCCTTAATTTATGGTCCGGAAGTTTGATCCAAATCTTTCTTCTTTGGAGGTCATCTGCTGGTTGAACATGTGGTCCTACATCGCACCAGCCCAGCCAAAGGCGCATCTCGAGCCTAAATCAAAAACTCTCCACCGTGGGCCGCCAAGTGTTTTTTAAAAGGAAAACAACTCTCTGAGTCTCCAAAATTAACTAAAGTGTTCGAACACCACCAGGCCTCCTCGTTGTTGTCGGGCTCAAATCACGCCACATCACGCCACATAAACATAAATATAGATCCACGCCACTCATCCAGCCATCATCCATCCCTTCACATCAACATCGCCATTTCTTACTCCTCTGGGCTTTCTCCAGCGGAACTCGTCCTGCCACTTGGAACAGACAGGAACCTGCCTCGTTCGTCGGCTTCGTCCACAGCGGTCCTCGTTCGGAGCCGAGGTGTTGCGGGAACGCGGTGCAATAAAAGGGGCGGTGTGGCTCCCAAATAGGCGTGAAACGAAACCAAAGGATTGCGGGTGGTTCTAGGCTGTTCAAAAGCGCAGCCACAAAAAGGACAACAAATCGTGGATCTTCGAACTATACCCCCAAAAAAAATAATGGTCTGGAATCAGAAAAACACTGAGCAGGCATCGGCGTCTAACATGCTTCAAGAAGCTCGCTGTGATGACTTCTCCACTGGTTCCAGAGTGAGCCTGCTGTGCCTCATCACTGCACGAAAGCTTTGTTGATCTTTCCGGGAAAGCTCAGTACAAGTGGTGTGGAACCACAAAGAAAATGACAAAATATGTTAAAGTTAACACAATGGCTTGGAGGCCTGGTTATACGTTGCTATAAATTTCATCATCATTCATTGTCTATATCTGAACAGCTGATCTTGAACTCCAAAAGGCTGATTTGTCCTGCTCGTCTCTGTTGCCATCGCCGAGTTGCCGTCACCTCGAAGTTCGATCGGTTCTGCAGGGCGCACGTTGGGGATGAGCCAGAAGAGTGCAAAAATGCTGAAGAGAGGCAGCATGCCTGAAAGCAACGCGGAAGATCAAAACCAAAATGACTCCCGAAAAGAGCGAGCTCTCTATACCATCACGACCAAGGTACTGGAAATTCCAGAAGCCAACCAAAGCATCTGAAACTCCTTTGATTCATCTGGTCTTCCACGTGGATTGCATTTCAGCATCGCCAGAAGCCATGCACCTGTAGCACTTGCCACTGCCACGCCAAGGTTGTGGCATGACACCACCAGGGCAAACATCGTCGCCTGTTGACAACGATTCTACACAGACAACGGCTTCGCGAGTTGACGATGTTTCAAATTTGACATCTTTGGGTTTGCCAACTCTTCTTGGCACCATGTGACCATTGAAACGTGTCAAAAAGTCTTCAAACGCACCAGGACCCACGAGGGCCATCGAGGGCCCGCACCGCGCCTCCATGTCCTTGGGACACAGCTGCGAGAAAAGGGCCACCTGTGGCATCCAAAGCCATTGATAGATTATCACGCCCAAGGACCTTGGGACATGCATTTGGAGCCCGTACCGAACCCAGGATGAGCCCCCGCACTGTTCTTACTAGCTTCTTGTTACTACTAGTAAGGCACCTGTTACTACTAGCGTGGCACTTGTTTCTAGTAGCTTCTTGTTACTACTAGTAAGGCACCTGTTACTACTAGCGTGGCACTTGTTTCTAATAGCTTATTATGTTGATGGGTGCGGAGCGGAGATACCAACACCGGGTCGACTCGATCTAGTCCACATGGTCGATCCTCCAGCGATTCGATGCTATTCGATCTACAAGCCGGTGGTTTTCAGGATCAAATATAGTGCTTATAGGGGCCGGTATCTATCTGAATCTACAGTATCTGCAAAATCGATAAAACCAAGCTTCAAAGCCTCCAACAGCTTGTTGTGAGAAATCACCCCTCCGCCGCGAATCGCGGCCAAGCAGCTGATTGCCAAATGCGAAGAAGACGTCCGGAATTCCCAACTTCACATTCAGCCGCGAGAAGAGCACCATGTCAGTGAGGTGTAGCAAGGAGAACGCGAGATTCGAGGCGACAATCATTCTCCGATAGGAGATCATTGAAGCAAAGCGGTTGTAACTGTACAAGCCCACAAGAGTCATCATGCCACCTATGCATCCAAGACAGGAATTGTAGAACAATGGTGAGAAGTGCGGTCCTTGTGGGAATTCCTCTTCGTCATCCGTGAGGAAATAGAATGCAGGAGCACTGACGGAGAGATGCAAGGAGGTTTGCACCAGCGTAAAAACACTAAACTTTGCAATCACCGGCGACAGTACCATGGAAAAACTCCCTATAACAAGAGAAGCTGCCAGCAATGCCATCAGAGCGTTGACCGCGGGGTCTTTCGTCGTGATGGCCGTCAGGCTCATCAACAAAGAGACGCTCAGGAGCAAGAAAGCTAAGGCACAAGCTTCTTTCTGATGCCAAAAAGCGAGGCGCTTCGCCCGCACAGCTTCGGCACCTTTCTGGAGAGTGTTCTGAGAATTTGTGTTCATGTGATAAAAGAACATGTAAATGCGAACCCCATGCGAACCCCAAGTGGAGAATCTCACTTGTTCTCCGCGGTCAAACCGAAAGCCGTTGCAAAATGAGTCTTGTCAAGTTGTCTATTGGTACCTCTGGGGGCTTCACATCCATTAATTAGTCGTCTGGACGATGTGCTGACACGTTTTTGCTGCAGCTCAAGCACTCTGTGCTTCCTCCGGAACGGCAGCACTTGTTAGCACTGCAGGTGCAATTGCAGGTGCCAATGCAAGAAATGTGCCGTGTGCTCCCAAATACCTTGCAGCTGGCACACTACTGGACAACCGCCAAAGCAAGCGCACAAAGTCACAACCTCTATATATATTAGCCAAGGTTCGAAAGCATAAAGCCACTAGACAAATTGCCCAGCAAAGACCATGCGGACATTCCTGCAAATACCTAGTGTGCTCTGCAAAGACACCCTCTGCAGCATGAAAAAAAAAGTATTCCTGCAGAAAACGCCATGCCTATGGGTCAAGGTGCCTTTGTCCCTGTAGACGTTCTTTCTCCCTCGGGTGAATATTCAAAGATCCGACGATCCACCCCCTACTGTTGCAGGGATTCCCGTGGTCAGTGATGTTGAGCGCCCACCAGGAGCTTGAAGTACACGTGTTTGATGAGGAGCTTGACTTGATGCTGAACTTTTGCTGAATTGTATCAATGATACTGCTCACTGTGTTGCACTGGACAGCGTATAGACGTTCTCGCCCGTTACGAATGTTCTTACTGTTACTTAGGCGTTCTATACCGGCCCGCTGCTTAGGCATTCCTACCCGTGACTTAGGCATTCTTACCCGCACCCCTCGAGTACTGTCACCGTCAGTGGCTTGACTGGACGAAGTATATAGTGAGGGTGGCACGAGTACGCTGTGGAGGCACCGTGTTTACGATCTTTTTGGACGCTTCAATTATGCGTTGTTGAATCTTTGGTGGGCGGGAAGCAAAGTATGGCTTCAGTTCAGCCTCTCGATCAAGTTCGGTCACTAGCCTACTACTTTGTGTATAGGACCTTTCAGAAGCGGAAACCTGAAGTGTCTCGTGGTATGCACCCTTTAGATCAACTCCCACAATCTCCCATATATACGAATATGGCGAATTGATGCGCATTGCAATGGCGCGAAGCGCCGACGATTCGATGTGATTCACGGCACATGGCCAAGTTCTTGTGCGTTGCCCAGCTTGTTTTGTCAAGTCCTGCTGTATGAGTCTATTTCTGCGCAGCATGCTGCAGCATGCTTCGGCAACCAAATTCGTGCAAAGAAGGTTTGTAGATATATAGCCATGCTTTTGCGGACGAAGCCCCAATCTGTGCTGTCCAGGTTGCATAGGTCAGAAGGCTTTGGCCAAGTCTTGGATGGTCCTGTCGGCCGTTGGGCTGATTCGGAGACGACCACCGGTCACTATGGACCCACGGCTATGGGTCGGAACGCAAGACCCACACGCGACTAATGAGACTGCCATGTCGGACTGCCGAGAAACGGCCAGGGGTGGTGGTGCCAGAGGGTCAATGGGGCTGCAGTCCTATGGCAGTCCCAGACAGGTCGTGTCTGGGATTTCTCTGGACTGCAAACCACCGTTCGACGGTCGAACTGTTTGGTCGATATGGAGAACGGTGTCCTGCATCTGGCGAGCATACAGAGCTTCTGTCAGGAGATCCCCAATGCCTTATATAGATTCTTCAACTGTTTTAAGCTTAGAACACATCGTCAATGGTCAAGGCTGCACTGCTACAACGCGGCTTTGCCAATGTCAGGCATGTAAATTTAACTGTTGTTTAATCAGTTTTTATGTTTGGGGGCTCCAGCTTTCAGTTCGTGGTGCAAATGCAAAGCTCCACCAGAAAGAGGGAAACAACCAAGAATGCCAGGGACGCAGTGTTGATCCCAAGGCCAAGGGCCAACGCAGCAGCCACGCCACCACTACTTGCCACAAACAAATAAGGTCCCTGCAAGTATCGATTCAGCCGTCAAGTCTGGATGTAGCTCCAACATTTACAAAGTTGACGTGTTTGAGAGTCTTCTCTGATTCTGTACCGCTTCTAGTTGAACATATCACAAGGGACCACTGAAACTCGTGCCTTGTGAAAGCCCCAGATTGGAAGAAGGTCGCTGATCAAACCAAAGATCGGCTTGAGGATGTATGGAGAGAAGATACAAGTCTTCCAAATTTGAACCTCCTGCAGGATCAAACCTGAACTCGCTCTCTTCCTCAGTGGGTCTTGAGCGTCCATAGCTGGCAAAGTTATTCGCATCACTGTACCATGCGTTTGTTTCGGTCCTGTGCTGGCACATGGAAAGATTTGAAGAGGTATGGCGTGGCCCGGCCACTGAGATTTGCAACGAAGCCCTTGATGAGGTGCTGGACGGAAAACCTGGGAGTGCCATCAAAGGTATATACCTTTGAATCTCTTTTGAGTTGATGGTTTCTTTGTGGAAAAAGTCATCATGCAGGTTTGTAATTGAGCTGGATACATATTGGACCATGTGTTAATCTAACATGTCTTAAATCTTAACCTTTTTCTGAATTGTGTCTTAATAAGTGCTTCGGAGCGTGACATCTGTCACGCATCCGAAGAACTCTGCTTCCCGTCTGGAGGATTCACCGAAATTCTTCGACAGGTCACAAGACCATCAACAAGTTCGGTCCAAATTCCTTCCGCAAACTTCGCAGCCAAGCAAGGCTAAAGGGCCTTAGTGTGGTTTTTACAAAAACCAAGCCCATCACCCATACAAATCCAAAAGCGAGCACCTTATTTCAGCGCGGTTGTTCACCGAGCTTTCACCCTCTCTGGGACTTCGACGGATCCTCACCTGAGCCGAGAAACACCGGCGAAGACGACAAAAACCGGGACCGGTCTGGCCGGTCTGGCCTGAGGCGTCCATCGCGGAGGGCCGGCACCAGCGTTGGTGCAACGCACCATCGAGAGTGTCAGAACAAATTGTATTATAATACTTGTTGTTTTTGTGCTAGATGGAAAGCTGAAAGATGTTCACAAATGTTCCAGGCATGTGCACATCCTTGTCACGTCTCGAGTTTGTCACGTCTCTGCCAATCATTCCTCAATTATTGAGTCCATGGGCGAAGACAACAGGGATTCCGCAAAACCGCAAAGAGATTGTCGATTGTTGTAGTAGACGTTACCTCTTGCTTGCCACCTCCAAGGAAAGCACATTGAAGATCCGTAAAGCTAGCACAAGATGGAGGAGAAGCACTTGAGTCAGGCATGTCCGGAGACAAGGAACATCGAAACCTGGTGCAAAATCTGAAGAGTGGTAGCATGTCGTGGCAGGTTGTGAACCCTCCCATGACTCTGCATAATTATGCACACTTTCTGGACCTTGGACTCCACAGTTCTTGCCAAATCGTTGGCTCAAACAAGGACATGTTGCCTTGGAGCTCAACACTTCGGCGTCTCCACGAACTACAGTTCTCAACGTCACTGACTGGTCGTCCAGGCGGCGTCTTAGACGCGTGAATTCCCCAGCGGAGATATGCGTTACGCGTTGTGTTCATTCAGTGTCAGAATTCAACCAAATAACGGATGTCAATGTCTAAAGCTTGGAAGGATGTTTGCAGGGTAACAGAAAATTGCTGAAAGTCAGCAAAAGGTATACTGTAAAGGAAAGCTGCCTCTGGTGAACAGCTTTTGCTTCTCACTTGTCATCCAAGCCTGGTATGGATTCATCTGTGAAAACAGTTTGTGTATGTCCTGCCGTACGACCAAACAAGGACTATCATGTGAGCTCATGCTTTTCATGAATGTGTGCTTTCCACTTACTTCACGAGCTACAAACATTCTGAGCGCTCAAGTGACAGTAATTAAATCACAATGGCCAGGCTCTCCATCTCTGTCTCTGTCTCCCTCTCTCTCTCTCTCTCTCGCTCGGAGCCCCACATGGATAGCGAGAAAGGCAGCAACGCTAAAAGGGCCGAAGCTGGTGACAGCCGAATAGCGCCCGCATCAACTTAGAGTTCAGAATGTTCCAAAATGTCTTCAGAACAGAGCCCAAACTCGTGAGAATCGCCCCCACGTACGTGTGACATGTCGGACATGTGTGAAATTGACTCTGATCATTCTGAGGAACCATCTCCAAATTCGGTGGTTTTCATCAGGACACAGTGGTTCGGAAGAAACATCTCAGCTCGTGGCCGACCCCAGATCCACCCCAGGGCCCATAGTCAGGCCTCATTCGCTTCCATCAACGGTTCACGCCGACGCGTCTCACGCGACAAGCACGTCTCAAGCGCCCCCACCCCCCCCCTCACGCGACGCGCCTGTAGCTGGTGGATGGAGGGTTGAACCTGCGACATGTAACAGTGTCAAACATGTGGTCCAGTCTTTTTTAGTCAAGAGGAACCATAGTCCGTAGAACCACAGAAAAGCTAGGTCTATGAACGGAGTTATCAGCTAGGCTGTATGGTATCTTGTCTTTGCTACTTCTGGGCGACTTCTGTGTGAAAATTCCCCTTACTTGCGCCCTGGCGGCAACATTTTTCATTTGAGTGTGGCAATGAAATGAATAGGTGCGATCTATCAAGGCTTTTCGTATATAAAGTTAATAAAAAACATTGTTTCATAAACAGCTATATAACATGTTTTAGTCCACCTTGTTATTTTGCTGCCAGAATGTGGCCACAAGTTTTTGTTTACAAATGAGTGTGGCCTTTATCCAAGAAGCCTGTTGGCCTCCCTCCTTTGAAAACCTGTCTTCTATGTAAAATGACCTATCTCTTCTTGCAAAAACTTTGATTTATGCATATTTATGCACTCCAGATAGGTAGCACATGTTGTGTTTATAGAATGACCTGAGTCAGGCCATTTTATGAGGGAAACACATGTTCATGTTATAAGCAAACAAGTCTGGAGGATGTGTGAAACATCGTCTTCTGTCCGCGCTTGCACGAATATCATCTCCGCCCGAAAACGAACACCACTTCCAAAAACTATCGTGCCACCAATCTATAAATAGAAACCCTGGCTTCAAGTCGCTGTTTGCGTCTGCCTTCGCATCTGAGTCTTAGGTCCCCGCTCCACGACATTGTTGGGATCACAGTTCCTTGCCATGTTGTTCCAATGAAAGTGCTCCTGCGCCGGTCCACGCACTCGGTCGAACGGACGGATCGGGCGGAGGCCGAAGGATGTGGCCTTGTAATTGTTGTAGCAGTCATAACCTCAGCCGTCCACAGGCAACTAAGCTGGCAGTTTCGGCAAAAAAAAATGAGAAGGCTGTTTAGATGATGTGACAATGGAGGCCGGAGGTTGTGCTACTCTCATCTCGACCGAACCTTCCACACCTGTTCCTGCAGAAACCACAGGAAACCAGCAGCTCCTGCCGTCGAATCTGCCGTCGACCCACCCACGGTTCCCATGTTCTCACCGAGCCGCCAAGACTTTGATATCGCTTTTGGCAGGCAGCACTGCACCTGAGTCCACCCTCCACCCAGTCACGCAGAAAACAGCGAACGACGTGCTATAGACTGCTATACTTCGTGACGAAGAAAACGGGTCAAACACACACCACGTGTGCTCACCGCGTGGCCGTGACGTCGACACCATGCGCTCTGAGGTCAAGTCGGGTAGTTGGATCTTCCTCCAAAGCCTTCCAGCAAGCAGGGCCTCAGGACTCGATGTGACCCGGTTGACTCAGTCAACGCGAATTACTACGCGAATGATGTCGTCTGGCGATCTCACACCGTCCTTCGGTTTGAACTATGAAGCTTCTGAATCCGTCCAACTCGACATGAGAAAGATACCTGATCATGAGATACCTGACATGGGCCAGGCATGGCCAGGCTGAGTTTGATGAATCTTCTCAAAGAGTTGGCAACTGCCAACTTCCTGGGCCATGAAAGGGCGAGTCTAGGCAGCTGGACGCCATAGGCTGCAAGGAGCAGCAGTACATGTTCTCAGGATCTGCCTCACAGTCCACCTGAGGACAGCTCTGGTTGGACCTAACGAATGACTTCCTGGACCTTCAAAGGGGTGTTCAACGGAGATCCGCAGGTAGTGCAGGCTAGTCCATTGGAGACCCCATTCAGTTGCGGTTCTACATGTTCTACTGTCTGAGGCATGCACAGTCTGCTGGGCTGAGCACAGGGACCAAGAAAGAGCCTCACAGTTCGTTCGAAACTTTGAGTTGCTTCGGAAAAAAAAAAAAGAAAACTCTCGGGCACCCAGTGTTTTTGTTCACTTATTCTCATGCTCCAATGAACTTGCTGGGGTGTCCGGGCCCAAAAACCAGCGAAGCGAGCGAAGCGCGAGGCCAAGGAAGTCATGACCTGTGCAACACCCAGAGAATCGAGCGACAGTGGGTGTTATGGCGAAGCAGTCACCAAAACATAAGTCTTCCTCTGTCTTTCGGAGCAATCTTACCCCAACAAACTGGCTTCCCGGAATTGTTTTTGTCAAGATGTATCAGGTTGATAATAAGACTCAAAGGCAAAGCTCATTCAGAACGTGCCAGCCAATATCACGTTTCGGCGAAACCGATGCATCTGACGGGTTTCGGCCAAACTCGATTCAGCATGACAAACACTGAATGCCTTCAGCCACTGCCGGGTTTGACTGTGGCTTGCGCGTTGCAGTGTGATCAAGTAGTCAAGACTGGCGGTACCGAGTGTGATCGACTGTCAATTGTGATCGACTGTCACTTGTGATCTGCATGTCGCTTGAAAAGACACTGCTCTCGGAGCGTTTGGTCTCAAGTTCCCCATCTTCACAATACTGGTGAGCTTCTCACTTTTTTGAGCAGCCTGTTTTGGATTTTGGGAGCACTTGATTTTTCGAAAAAAAAAAAAAAAAAACAACGCAGTTCCTTAAGGGGCTCAAGTTGCTACCCACGGACCCATCGCAATGGCCAAAAAATCTGCCTTCGACGCGTGCATCCAGGCGACAAGACCAGTGAACAGTTACTATAGATCCTTTTCATGGGGTCAATGATGGGTCAACGTAAACTTCTACATCTTGGCGAGTCACCCAATATGGTCACCCTATTTAAGTACATGGTCAATCTATTATCTAGGTGATCCATCAAAGTCTTCGTTCGGAACCCCCAAGAAAATCCACTCTAAATCCATGGCTGATCTGGAGACGTGGAGCTTTTCAACCGGACCGCCGAATCCAATTGGTTCGACTCGGACATGATGTCGCCCGGTCCACAGGCGCAGCAGCGCGGCCCCCCTTTTTCGGGTCTCGAAAAAATCGGACCAGGTCAACGGACCGGATCATCGGATCAGGCATAAGAATCTCTAGAGAAAAAAAAAAAACATGCAAATGATTTCAGCGTTCAGATCTCACTTCTTCAGGAAGTTCCTGCTCAAATTGGTGAACGTATGTGAACGTTGTGAAGCTGATCATGAAGTGAGAATGACAGTCTACATAATAAGTTACATAGGCCCACACACTTTGAATTATATAACCAATATCAAATGTGCCTCTTTGTCTACTATATATATATATATATGCATGTAACAGCATGTATTTCAGGATGCCTACGATATTCTTCCAACAGATTCACTTATGTTTACAGACTTGGCTCATCTCTTCCGCCATGTCCTCCAAGAGCCATAGCTGGTGATATCACTCGGTGGATCACCTCCGGCGTTCACCAACCCGGTGCTGTTCGCTCCAACATCCACCTGGCGCAGCAGAGCGAGCAGAGCGAGCAGCTGCGAGCTGCGAAGGCGGACCGGAAGTAACATGGAACAACTACCAGGACACTCCAGACAGGCTGTTTTGGGACCCTAACAGGTGGTTTCTGGGCACCTGTCACCAGGAAGCACCTGCTGGAGGGTCCGGGTATTGATAACAGAACATGACCAAAATTATTAAATCAAGATTAAAACAAAACACATAATCCGATAATCCCATATAATCCTGGGCAGTACTCAAAGATCATCAAAAGCTCGCTGGACTGTCTTGGAAGCTTGCTGTTGGCGAAAGCATCGCCTGTCTGAAGCCCTGCACTCGGCTGCCATCCTGCCGAAAAGCAAAAAACCGAAAACATGACTTTTTAAAAAACTGCGGCGTATGGAGAGTCCCAGGCGTCGTACTGGAGTTCCACCCTTTGAGTCCCAGAGAAGGTGAGTGGATTCCGAACGCACACGTTCTAAGAAAACAAACTCCAAGGGACTTGACACCCCGAGTTGTCCATGGACCGTGCTTCAAAGCGAAAACTCAAAGACGTCATCCGGGACTTCGTTTGGTGTTTCGTGAGAAGAGTCATATCGAGTCGATAGGAATCGACGATATCGAGTCGATAGGTATCCTCTCTTTTCGGGTCCTCGCATGCGTCGAAACCTGTGTGTCTTCCGATGGACAAAACGAAAGTGGCCACGGCTTTCGCCTCCAGTTCGATCCACCCAATGCCCAAGGGTGAGGCCACCAACCTAGCGGGAACGCCCCGACGGGCATGCCTGGTGTCGTCCGGTGTGTTCAAACGACTTGGGCGTTGATTTAGAGCCACATGGTCACAAGTCCCCCCAAAAAGAGCCGAGCTCCATGCAGAACATTCATGAACATTATAGTTGGCGCTGCTACTTCACCATCCATCTCCAAGCACCAGAAAGCACCACTAGTAGGGCGGCCCAGTGGCTTCATGAAGCTCCCAAAAGCCGCAGCTGGAAGCTCCTGGCAGCCCAGCGACGGCCGGAGAACGGTCGACTCACCACGGCACCGGCACGGCACGACACGGCCGAGCTCGGCTCCCAAATCTCCAGCTCAATGCTTGCCTCGCGTGAGGCCGTGAGGCAAACAGGAACGCAGCGCCGGCAGCGCATGTTGGGAGCAAAGCAAAAGTTTTGTTGTACCATATTGAGACAGCTCAACATCACAACAGCAAAGAACAAGTTCCATATGGTTCATTCATCATTTGCCCGCGCTGAGGACTTCACACCACTGCTGGAGTCTACTAAGCCAGGTCGAGGTGGTTTCATGTCAAAAGCCACCAAGCGATACCTGGCGGTCGAGGGTCCCTCATGAGATCAAGATGGACCGTCGCGCAGCTTGCGAACAGTTCGCAGCCACGCTTGCGACGAAAAATCTCAGTCTCCACCCGCCACAAACCAAGAGAGGTTAAGTGACCCTTCAGCCTCTACGTTGGAACCTCCACAATCCTCCACGCGTCCGCGTCGGGCTTGACGGCCGCGTCGTGCGCCGCCTGGGTGCTGTTCTGGCTCGGCGCACGAAGCGGCCGCCGCGCTCCGTGAGCTGCCAACTCAAGGGCAGTCCTGTCGACCGATGCGGCCCACGGGGAACCAGTGAACTGGGAAGCTGTGGCCGGTTGGTTTGGGCCCCAAGTGGTGCATGATAGAACCCCGAAGAGAGGTTGGCCATTTGGGGAATACGTCGTGAGTCTACGTGACATGAAGATTTGGCCCAGCACCCAAATTGAACTACGAATCATGTTCTTTCTGATCCTTTTTTTCTGTGCCAGGCCGCCTGCTGAGCCGTTTGTCCGCCAGCAAGGCGGAGTGAAAACGGGACAGCGAACCGAACCGCGACAGTGTCGTCTTTCTCTCCACGGGCGCGACATCCTGTCGTCGATGGACCGTACGTCCGTTCTTCTGCTGGTCTCAGGTTCGGGGGAGGTGGTTTGGATCACGCAGATGAAACATGAGCAGCATGAGCGAAGAAACGCCGATTGCTGAGCTGGTACAATGTTCTGACAACTGCAAAGATCACGAAGGAAAAGGCTGCTATGCATACAGCTTGGAGCCGCTCATCCTCCAATTGCAACATGAGTTCTTGCAACGCTATTAAGCCAATCATTGAGGGCGTGGCCAGAATGGCCAACAGGACATCTCTCAGCCACTCGGTGCATCTCCAGTACCCCCGAGAACGCAAGCAGCGTGCCAAGAAGAGCCCTACGGTTGCGACAGTTGGAATCCACCAAAGCCAAGCAGAAAGACAGCTGACGGTGTAAACCAGCGCATTGAAGTCTTGCCGAGACCGCCAAAGAAGGCCCAAGTCAGTTAAGGGCCACAAGATTGGCACCGTGGCGCCGAGCATCAATGAATAATCAAACGTATCGCTTCCCATCTGTTGCTTTAGCGCGATGGCGACCACTGACTGTACGGCGTGGTCAAACTCTTCCTCCGAGCCGTACCAGTGCATGATACACTGGCGAACGATTTCTCGATCACAAAGCTGAATTGGCTGCCCGTTGGCGGGGTCCACGTGATTCACACTGCAACACCAGCAATGGCACGTCTGCAGTTGAAATTGCTGCAGCTGCTGATTGGTAGCGTCCAGTGATCTAAAATATCCACGGAAGGCATGAGCAAGGTATAGGGCTTCCATCGCAATCCACAGGAACACGAGCAGCCAGAAGATGTCTGCAAATGGATGGACCACTACAAATGTGCCAATGCCCAACATCGAAACACCAGCAAGGCACACTTGAAAACCCATCATGAGCGGTTTGACCTGCACCATCTCCGGTTTCTCGGAGACAGCTTCTGGATGAGCCTTGAGAAATGCAGCTATCTCGAACATACACCAGAGTCGTTCTACGTAGGATGCCTCCCAAACAACCAAAAGGCACTTGGAAGCCTTCAGCACCGCTCCAATGTTTAGAATGCCTTCGGTCTTCATGCGCTCGTCAAACTGATTGATACACATCCTGTCCACAAAGACTGTGCTGTTAGATCTCCAAATAACAAACGTCACTAGCCACAGGATCAATCCAGCACAAGAACAGCAGCAAGGAAACTGCAGCTCCAAGAAAATGCACGGTATCATCATCAGCAGGGATCCTAAAGTTCCAATTGCGCAGGCGGGTGGGAGGTTGTTCAAGACCATCAAAAGCATGATCTTCTTCCAGCTTTTTACTTGCCAGCTATGACTCAAGAACACATTTAAATGCTGCGTAGCTTGGCTGAGGTGATAGAAATCTTGGGTTTGGGGAGCCCAAAAAGCCTGCCCCAAGCAAGCCACCATCTGGTACACACGAACAGCGCGTATCATCTCTGAGTTAGTTGGCTGAAATCTCCCGATGAGCTGGACAATCTTGTCACGTATTTCGATCGACTCGTCAGTGGGCTCAGGCTGATCATGCTGTTCCTCTGAGGCCTCAGAGTTGTCAGCCTCTTCTGGAATCTCCTCATCTAAATCAATGCCAGCAAAGCCATCAATCAGGTGTCCTGGCCCTTCCGGATGCGCTGTCTCGCCCTCCTCTTCTTCCATGGCACATTTCACAGGTCACAGGACCTGTGAATGGATGTAGATGGTGGGACTTGGAAGTGAGCAGAGAGTTCGTCTGCACGTACTACCCATTAATGCCTACTATACAGCCTACAAGAGCCTATACAGATACAGCATCTTCGAATTGACCGTTTCCCAATGCTCTGCTTTCTCGGAAGACTTGGACCGTTTCACCCTGGTCAGAGGGATGTGGCCGGTGGGTACTCCGTTGAATCGTCGTTTTGGACCACGGTGTAACCTCAGTGACCTCTATTTGGACCATGTGGGTTTTTCCAAACATGGGGGTCAAATGAGCTCTAGGCGTAGTAATAGAATGATCATATACTTTGTGGCATGGTGGCATGGTCAAAGAGAAATGCTTTCCTGGTGAGACAAATAAGATAGTGTGTTTACTTTTGCGACATGCTTTAAGAGTGACTTTTGCTTGAGTTTCTCTCAACATGTTGTACATGTTAGCTCAACTCTCTTCCATGACGCTCTTGCAACTTGTCAAATAAAACATACAGAGTTGCGGAGTGGAAGCCTTGGGAATATTACTTTTATCAACTGATTCTGCCAGCTTGACAAAGTAGCCTGCCTTCCATGTGTGCTCCACAAACTGCAACTTCAAACCTAACTGGAAGAAGGCACAAAAACGGAATCTGAGATGCATCCTTCTGTCTTGCAGATGTTGTCGCTTGTTCTTTCTACGCCTGCTTGGTCTTTCAGAATGCAAGTGCTTTTGCCACATGACTTTTCTCTGCCACCGGACGTCTCCACATCGGCGGGCAACGCTCCAAAGTGCTTGCCCTGAGTGGCCTCGCCAACGGCGGCGATCCAGTGACACAGCGAGACGCGGTTCCGGGCACCGTCGGGTTGGTTTGGCAGCGAAGTGGCACGTCGTTCCTCGTCGTTTCTGGGCAGTCCTCCACAGCTGCAGAGACATCTTGGACGGAGGACTGCAATGCTCCCACCTTGAGGCACAGAAGATTGGGTGGGTAAGGGTGGGCAAGTAATGGTGGGTGTATCATGAAACTTGGGTATGTCATGCCACGTCATGCCAAACAGGAACGAGCATCGCATGTGATCTAGATCGGATCAAGTTACTTACTAGTAATTACGTCCACTCAATTGGTCCGGGCCCCCATGCTGTGAGCTTGGAGGCTGCGTGTAGCCTGCAACACGTCAGTTGTAGCTCAAAGATATGAAGTTCGCAAGAAACAAGTTGTGGGAACTCTGTGGCTCTCATCGATCGGTTTTAGGGTTTAAGGTTCTTCAGGCGACTCTTCGACTCGCAGCGGCATGAGGGGCTCCCTCATCCCTCAATTCTCTCCATCCCTCTCCGGGGCAAACATAGCCGAAACCGGCCTCCAACACTGCCTCCAACCTACTAGCGATGGCCTCCAACCTCATGACCAAAAAGAAAACGCCTCTGGGCAATGTCGCAAATGAAGGCATCATGCCCCGCAGCGGCCGAGATGGTCACACCGAACGGCAGGCACGGCGCATCGCTCGACAGCACCGTCGGCACAGCGATGCCGCCTGGGAGGACAATCTCATGATGCCACAGCAACCGTGCTTTTTACTGATCCCTTTTGGACCCCAGCCCAGCCCCCGTTCGCCAAGCCCGAAAGCCAACAAGTCGACCGAAGATCGTTCGCTTTTCCCGCGAGCGAGTGTTCTCAATTCCGCGAGTGTTTTCATCGAGCGGCAAAGGTCCAGCAAGTTCATGTGATTCGTATATCCTCGGCGACGGTCTTGACACTTTTTCTTGAGGGACGAAGGACGTGGCCTTGTCACGAAGGACATGTTTTCGGAATGTGTGTGGAATAGTTGCACTATGTTGTACTCCAGAATACTCCGGTGAGTGAATTGTGGACAAATTGCAGCAACGTCTCTAAATAAAGAACTTCCAAGAAACGTGTTATTTTTGTTCAACGTGAACGAATTGGTTTGTCATGTTTTTCTGTTTCAATGAAACGTCCCTTCAGCCAAGCGGCGACCAAGCTGTGTGTTTAAAGCAACGGGATCTGCAAGGACGTCCTGAGGTTTCACAGAAATCATGCACTCCGCCATCGCGTCGCCATGTTGTTGGAGATCGTTTATTCCCATCCATGGCAGTGGAGAGGGGGTCCAAGTTTGGCACCCTCCGTTCGTTTGGCACCCTAAAATATTCCTGGACCTCCTGGCCGAGGCGAACAGAGATAATCACCTAATGCAGACTCTTGCTTCATAAAGCGGGGAGGGTATTAAACAGAATTGCAGTCCATTCCACACAGGCTATTTCTTGGGATAGCCGTGCGACTGAGCTCATCTCCAGAGTCGAAGGACCAATTCATGTAATCTGAATGTAATTCGCTGTTCAGAACGTTGAATTCGAAGCACCAGCACAGCAGCACCGAGACTCTTCGGGCCGCACCGACTCGGTCGCACCTCGATGGTATAGGTCGCACCGACGGTCGGAGTCACCAGCACCTGGCGTGTGCCGGTGACCGTGTGTCCGGGTGGTGAAAAGAAAAAAACCGCGGGCGGCCTGTGGATGGTGCATGGTCCTGGAACGAAGCAATAGTTTATAAACCATTCATGAACACAAACAACTATACCACTACCATAATTAGGGTTAATGATGTTTTGTGGATGTTTGTGGATGACAAATGTCAGGCTTGTTCCCTCCAAATCATTCTAACTCGGACGAAGCCATATTCGGAGACCTCGCCCGGTCTGTGGCACAGACCGAGTCACGACAGCTTCGGAGGGCTATAGCTGACATGTGTTGAGCCCACAGCACTCACAGGGAGAATAGTTTTAGCCTGGAGGATCTTCACCAATCTAGGTGGTTTTGGGTATTTGGAGGTTCTTTGTGACTCTCAACCCAAATGAATCTTCATTATCTTTGATTGTATCTCTGATTCAAGTATACAGTCACCGTCTTCCGATGTCGGCTGACCCGACCGCTGCATGGAAAGACATGACAAATACATGAAACAGAATGGTCCAAAAAACAACACGAGATGGTTAAAAGAAAAAGGATCGAACATTAAAGAAGGACATGAATGCTGAATAGAATCTCACTCTTCCATGTCCTTCTTGATGTTCCTTTCTTGGCCATTGGGCGAAAGACCCCAACCCCCCACCGACAGCTTTTGTTTCCTCGCTCACTTCGCCTCCGCCTGGGTGCTGCTCATGGCTTCTTGTGCCTCGATCCGTAGCTGCTGCAACCGGTAGATGGCCTCGAAGCACCTGGGGAAAACCATTGGGATTCGATGTGTCGATACGATGTTTCGACTCAATGCGATGAGTTCTGCGAAGTCGAATTGAAGCAAGGTTTACATGCAATAACCGCGTCCTTCTGCTCCTTTGGAGGTTCCTACCCAACAACTTCCCTCACCACGCGGATCTACACGGAAGACCACAGTAATACAGTAACCACAAAATATATGGCTAGGCTATATCATGCTTTATAGTGCTATATAGTTTTTGTTGACAAGTCATTAATTTAATATATCAAAGAAAGAGTCTGTTCTGAACATGCGGGACATCCCCAACAAATCAACCAATCACTAATCAGTTTCACTGGAGCATTATTGCTTCCAGGTCAGCAAGGCTCCGGGGATCCTCACTGCTGTGCTGACCATTCAGTTCCATGTTCAGCAATCTTTCTGACCTCTCACAGCGGTCCCGTGGAAGGAGGATCACAGAAAGAAAACAAACACATTATGCAGTCATTTGAACAAGGAAAAGCAGGAATCTGTTGAGCAAGTCGAGCAGCATTCCAAAGACCCCTGCCTCTACTTGAAAAACAGGGCAGAAGAAAGGTTTATAAAGGAACTCTTCAAACACTATGTTGATCTAATTTGAAGAGCCTTTAAGGGGTCAGTATCAACTGCCCACTTCGTCTTCGCAGTCTTTCTTTCCAGCAACCCTCTAGTCAGACCCTCAGCGCTCCCGTTCGAGGCTCCCGCGATGGGGTGCACCACCTCGCAGTGAAAAATCGGACGCTTCACGCTTCGCTTGCAACGCGCGGACCTGCTGCACACTTCATGCGGACCGTGCTTCACACAACGAAGAAACGCGTGGACATGTACAGTGATGCGATATGAGGCGTTTTTCCATCCACTCTCGGAAGCAGTTCTTGAGGTTTGATCTGCTCTCTTCTGGAAAACGGGGTCGACGGAAAGGAACTGCCGGTCGGTCAGGTGATCCGCGGTGGCTGCTTCTTCTGCTTCTTCTGCTTCGATGACTTCGGTTCACCGTCTTCAGTGACAGACGTCGCTTCCAGGTCCGTTTCCACCGTCTTCCGTCCGACGATCGTCGTGATGCCCGAGGTCTTCGGCCTCTGGATCTGATGCCCAATCTGCCACAGAGGAAAGTCTCTCCGCGACCCAAGGGCCCTGGTAGAGAAGATTTGCTGCCTGGAAGTGATGCCCGTGTGGAAGGTTCAGAACCCCAAAGAATGCAATGAATATCAATGAACTTTGTGGTAGATGTGTCTCAACTCTATCAACCACCAAACAATGAGTATCGCCTGATTGTTCAACCACTCAGAACACAACCCACACACACACACACTCTACAGCTGGAGAACAGCACTGATTGAGTGTTGTTTCGGCAATTTGCCTCTTGGAATGGCGCGTAATCCACTTCCACACAGGTTCCTCCAATGGCTTTCAGGGCATCCACCGACCTGCGGCCACACACCGCGGCTCGGCTGTGCTGCACGGTGCGCATCAAAGACGAAGACCAGATTCCACAGAGATCCCACAGAGATCTTGTATTGGGTTCGATTGGTTCAAATCTGAAAAAAATATTGTCTTTTCTTGCAAGCCCACTTGCCCTGTCACTGCGTACTTTCAATGTGCCTTTCCCAAGCTTCGGAATAGAGTGCCGCACGAGCCTTGCGGGGGCAAGACGACTGCAGTCTGCGGGCCATGGCGGCAATGACTATCCCATTCGCCTCTGTCTTCGTTCGAACTCTGTCTGTCTCGTCTGTCTTCGTTCACTGCACAGGCGCCTGGGAAGCAGCTCCAAAGCTGTGGAAATCCAGGAAGGGCTGGCTCGGAATGCCGAACCTGATGTGCAGCAACTTCCAAGGAACATGATGTAAAAAGATTAATCGTTTAGTTCATTCGAGGCAATTCAGATATGCTATATGAGATATCATGATAGTGTGTCATTGTGCAGTTGCATTCAAAGACAGTAAAGGTACTCTCCATGACCTTGCCTAAAGCTTGCCTTGCCAGAAGGTGGCAGCCGTGGCCCTTGCTTCAAGTCCTGGCCATTGGATGCCATTGGTCGAAATCGATGCCAAACATATGCAGTGATTTCAATCTGTTGTTCAATCCAACTTATCCCCCCCGCTTCAGACTTCTTTCATCTTCTTAACCAGGCCACCCTGCCCGCTTAGGCGCCAAGGCCCACTGTCCAAGTCTCCCACGGTCCCGTCGACCCTTCCGTCCTTGGCAGGTCGATCCCAAGGGTCTGCGCCGCTCGCAGCGGCCGCCAGTTCCCAAAGGCGTCGTGCCTGACGCGGCGTTTGTCGCGTCGCGTCGCGGCGTGGGTTCCCCACCCACCACGAGGGCACACGGGCGGAGGCCGATGGAGTGATGTCCGGGTGTTATGGGTGGAAGGTGTCGTTGGATGGGAGAGCTTTGGGTCTGGAGGTGCCCCCTGGGCCAACCATGGTTGGGTTGGCCAACCGAAGACTGACATGACGTCAGTCTTAAGGACTTGCTGAAGACAAGGATTCGTTAAACTGGAGCTGTCACCCTTTTGAACGTGGGTATGAAACATGTTTCAAAGATGGTTTGGGGGGTCCAGGCACTTCTGTGCCCTCGACGTTCACATGCGGCATCATCTGACCCTTCGCTTTTTGCAGATGCGCTGAAATTCGTCTGCGCAATGGGCACTGGATCTGTACCTGATTTGGCTTTGTCTCAACAAAAACTATGCTCCTCACATGCCAATACAAATACGCCTTGTATCGAAAACGTACGCCAATCACATCACAACACAGAAAACTGCGGGCCACAAAAGAGTTGGGCCGAAGAACCACCAAGAAACACCAACAGCCATCGTTTTTTTAGCGACCGAAGCGGGCCATCGGCTCGGTCAAGCCCCCCCCCAAAAAAAAACAAAAAGAAAAAGACACCAGTTACTCCAGGACGGTTCAAAGCATGTTGTAGTTGGACCAGTTACTCCAGGACGTCCAAGACTCTTTCAGAAGCCTCAACTCCAGTTCCGCGAGGCTCGCAGGCTTTCTGGCTTGCCGCGCCGCGTTGCCGCGGGTCAACCGGAGGGGACGTCATGGTTTAGTTTCCTTTCATGAATGGTTTCCTTTTTGTACATCTGTAAAAAGAAGAACATCATGTTCATCCTTTTCCAATTTAAATCAAGTGTCTGTTTCCGTTTGGATGCGACTGTCCCCAAAACGATGTCCAAAACGATGAGTCTCGTCGTCCAAAGTCGTACATTCAAAGGAGCAACATCCATTGGACACCTAGGAGGTGGATGGAGGTGGAACCATTATGGACTATTGTTGGACACCATTATGGACCACAAGTGGACACCATCTAACACCATTGTATGTTCATGTTTTCCGTATTCTATAAGCTAGTGAGGGACACCACTGTTGTTTTTCTTTTGAGGAACAAATGTTCCGTGAGTTTGGCTCAGGTCTTGACAGGTGTTTAAGCAATCATTTCGAGCAACATTGTTTGATCTTTTTTGCCATTGGAACCATCTCACCTGTAGCCGGCTTCCCAAAAAATGCTATGTGCCAATGATTGCAGCACGGGATGAAAGGCAGCGCCCATGATCAGCAGCCCGTGCTTCACGCGAAAGTTGATTCCAGTGTCCCAAATCTGGAAGCTGGACCAGGCCGTGGAGCTCAATACAGCCGAGAGCCAACGTGGAGGCTCCAGGGACCACGGCACAAAAACACCGCCAAAGTAGGCCAAAAGCCTCATCTAGACGTGCCAAGTGAGGTGTTTTGGTCTTAGACGGGTCTTAGGTGTTTTGATCAGTTTACAAACGGTATATCAAACACCGAACTTGGAACTTTTGGAACGAAGACCTTCTGCATTGTTCTATTTGATGTGTTTCTTTTGGGCTTTAGATCCTGTTGTTTTGCTGTCTTGATTTTCTGTTGGTCTTTTGTGTAAGTTTCCGTCTATAAACATCCAAACCTCTTGTACGGTCCGTCGTTTCAGCTCAACCAACGGGACGGGCTGCGCATCGTCACAACGTGTCTCCGAAAAAGATAGGAATGGCCTCCAACCTAGTAGCCATGGCCTCCAACCTAATTACTATAATTACTATAGCGATGGCCTCCAACTTACTGGCGACGGCCTCCACCCTAGTAGCGATGGCCTCCAACTAACCTATATGGAAAAAATATGAAAAAAAAAGATCGAGAGTCTCTCCAAGGGGCTGATACTTGGCAGCGAAGACCGGTACCGCCTCGTTGCCACCCACCTGAGTTCAATGGCCACTGAGTTCAAGACCCTGCAGGGAGATCGTCGCTCAGTGATTGGGTTGCAAGGGAGATTGTCGGATGGTTCGTGTTGCTTTGTGGAATCAACATATTGAGCGAACAATAGGCATGTGTCTTGCTAGTAGCGAAAAATCCTGAAGTACCGTTGCGGCACTCGGAATATTGCAGGAAGTCTAGAAGTTCTATGAAAGCATGCAGTACCGCCTCAAAGCCCGAGTATATCATCCTTCCAATCGAAACATGAATTCAACTAGAGCAAAACATCGAAGCAGTGCACTCAAAATGCTGACCTGCGGTGGGCCCTTGGCCAGGCGTCTTCCCTTTCGTGCTTCTTTCACCCTTGTCCATCCACCAGAACTCAAAACCCCCCCCCACCAACCTTTCACATCACCCCCGTCGCTCGAGATCGAACTCGTACCTGTCGCTCGTACCAAACGCCGCCAGGCACACTTGCCCACCTTCGAACTCACTTCGCACCGTGCCCAGGCACATCGGCTGTGAGGATCATGGGCCACTCGTCGGGTAAGCTCGCGAGCGCTTCGACCAGGCGTGAGGGACTCCACACTCTTAGGCGCCAGCCCGGCAGGGTGGCGCGCCAGCGGTGCAACGTCTGCTCCAAGTCCACCTCAGTCTGAGGCTGAGCGTGTTTCACCGGGAAAGCGAAAACAAAGCCAATCATAGTATGATAGGGAGAAAACCTTGAAAGTAAGTTTGAAACTCAAATGGAATGGGCCAGTCGGTCTCTCCAAGTTGGGTATATTAGTATATATCCCATTACCAGTAACCGTGGAAGATGCTGGGTAAAGGCCTTTGAAAAAGAATATATACAGTTATACAATACATTAAAAGAACACAAAAACACATCCTATCTCGAACAACAAACTTTTTGTGTGATAAAAGTCTCTTCTGTGGCTTCGCAAGCAAAAGGATCGCTGAAGAAGCAAGGCAGGAGCCTCAATTCTGCAACCCAAACATCAGAATCTTGCAACTTCACAATCTTCATACAGCTTCACACAACAGCCACGTTTCTTTTTTCAAAAGGTAGTGTGGAATCTTCGGAATGGTGTGGAAATCACACTTGGTTGTGAGTCAAATCATTTGACCCACCCAGGGTGCCCGGGGTTTGACCCCGAAATGCAGCTGTAGGAGCATGTGAAGGATCTGTGGCGCTGGAGGTATCATGTCTGGCAAAGGTCTCGCCAAGTGTCTGGCATCCGTAGGAGGTTCATGAACCATGCGCGCCACGCCTGCTTCCAAAGGATCTCGAATGCCTGGTCGATTTGAGAACACCCCCGGAGCTTGGCACAGCTTAGTAGAACCTCCTAGCATATCTACAACTAGCAAAGTACCAAGTTAAGGCGCTAATCATCCGATAGCCAAGCCTTTCCAAGGCAGTCCAAACGTCAATGGTCTTTGAGCTTTTCAGAAAATGATTCACTTCAAATTCGATGCCATCAGCCCAGCATGGGGGGTGCTCCCACAGGTACTTCACATAGGCTCTCAAGAGAAGCTCGTCCATGCCCTCTGCATCAATCTTCAAGAAGCCCTGTCGGCAAGCCTGGTGCAAGTCCAGCAACTTGCCTGAGGAAGAGCCGAAACAGTGGAAGACACATCTGACTTGGAATGCAAACCACAAACGACACTGCTCGCTGCTGCTATGTTCGGACCGAAGACGTCTCCAAGACATCGGACCGAGACGCACAGCTTCACCTCTGCGACCATTTTTGGGGGGGAGGAACCCTCTTTCTCTCTGTGAAGGATGGTCCTCTGACACCTGTGAAGACCACTTCGAGTTTGGATCAAAAGCTATCAAAAAGCAGCCACGCACAGCCGAATCTGCCGAATCTGAATCCTTTTGGCACCATCTCGTCCGGTCCCCTCCCCATCTCGGCCCACGTATGAATGAAGAATCTTCGCGTCCCGGTGGCCGAGCGTAAGGGCAGGGACTTGTCGAGAGACCAACAAATGCGCCAGGCCCAACTTCTTCAGGTGCTCCAAGACCCCCCAATGCGGCTCAGGACCAATGCGGGTGGTACCAGCCATGTGCCTTGGTTTCAATTGAAACAGAAGAATGGATGAGAAACGCACAGCAAAGGCAAAGAACAAAAAAAGCAACGTTGTTCAGTCGAAGTTCTTGGTCTGAGATGGTCTGAGTTTAAATGCTTCAATGCTTGCTTTGAACAATGCTTACTTGACGTGCGGTTACTTCTTACGAAGGAACTTTCAATCTGAAAACGTCCCAGAAACACAGTAGTTTCCAATTGCCGGAGATTCCCGATCTATCTGTATATATTATGTACCCTGAAAAAGGTCTCCAACAAATCTAATGTATGTGTATATACACAATCGTAGAATATAGAGTCTATATATAAAATCTTATATAATATCTACAATGATCTGTATAGATATTCTGTCAGCCACATCATGGGATGATCGTCCTGATCGGTCGAGATGCGCTGGAAGCCCATAGGTAGAGAGGTTTTCTGGATGCACGAACCAGGCCGTCGCACGATAGTTGGTCGCCTCTGGCAGTAGCGCTGCATTGACGAGGGTCACTCTTGGATGGCTTTCATTGTAGCGCTGCCTCAGGGGAATGCATTCATCATGATCATATGATTAACTTATGATTACATAATATATATTATATACAGTATATATATATATATTATATATATATGATCATGTACGTCTTTTGAGGCTAAGACTGATCTTGCCATTCACCTCATATCCTAATCCAATTTCCAACATCTCAAACCACTGGAGGTTGAAAAGAGCAAAGCTGCCATGGCTCACGTCCTTCGGCCGGCCTCAGCTCTTCCACATAGTATGGCAAAGCCTCTACGCTCATGCCGCTTTGCTCGGGTGGTTGATGACCCACCAGGGTTCGAAAGTTGGAAGTCCCAATCTCCAAGAAGTGAAGGTAGCCTGGACCCCCAGGCTGTTTGGGGCGACGGACAACCAGCCAAGACCAAGACCAACGATCCGACACCCAAACGGTGCGACACGGTGCGACACGAGACATCTGAAGCAGACTCAAAGCTTCGACATGTTGGTTGGAGGGGTTGAAGATGTTTGAAGGGTGCTTCAAAATGGTGCAAGCAACTGCAAGCAACTGCAAGTCATGCTCCCTTAAAGCATAGTATAAATGTGTAAGTCCGCCAAACACACAGGAAGTGCTAGCAGCGCCCAGCAACCCATTCCTTTGCCACTTTGCACACCGCAGGGCACAGAGCGCCATGGGAAGCGCAAAAGGAAGAGGTCCACTTGACCGTCTTGTTTCCACTTGCCACTGCGCTCTTTCTATCAAGACAAGGTTTTATCAGAAGAAAAGAACTTCGCTTCATTCCCCCAAATCGTGGATTTTCTGCAATTTGCCCAAAGAACCAATGCCAACAACAAGAAAACAGGAGTTGAAGATAGCTGAAGTCTTGATTCTGCCAGATGTTGCTCAAGTCTGTCTGCAGTTCTGCTCTTGAGATTGCTCTAGATTGCTCCATGTTGCTCCAGTTCCACCTGACCTTCCGGGAAGAAGAACACCTCCCACAGGCTGACCGAACGCGTGTTCTCCGCGTGCCTCTTGGACGGTCAAGGAGAAGATCGACACACAGTCCTTGGGGGCCGAGGATCCCCCGGCAGGATTCCAGCGGCTCTTGTAGGGCCATTTTTGGGGGGGCAAACATCGACAAGTCGTAGACAAGTCATCTGTGGATTTGGCTGGTCTTCATTTGTTTTGAGCCACACCCATATGACATCATATAACATCATTATGCCATATGACGGAGATCTGATTCGCAACCTGTGTCAGCTTAGGCTCAAGTGACTTGCAAGCAGGCAACAGCCCATGGGTGGACAAAAGCCCACGGGATGCCTACACAAAGAATCACTGCCACAGATCAGTGAAAGTGTTGAGGACATCTGCTCTGGATTTCTCGCCGCAACGGCGCATTGACCGACAAGCATGGGTGTTCACAAAAACCTCCATGTGTTCATCCCGTTAGGGAATGGCTTCGAACCCGGAAAACCGACACGTTGCATGGGTCCATTATGGTCTAACCCACCTTGAGACCGACGATGTTGTTCAAAGCCGCTGGCACTCGGCCGCTGCCAGCAGTATCCGTGCCCAGGGAGAAGGTGACCTCCACGGTGGGCGTTGTGGAGCAGACGAAGGGAGAGAGAACATGTGGAACGAAGACATGAGAAGAACGAAACTCAATTCATATGCAGATTTGTTTCTATGGTGTCTCATCATGAGTTATGATGAACGCGTATGAACCCGTACTTTGGAACGAAATTTAAAAGTCAAGCCACAAACGCCACATTTAGCTCTGTTTTTCTCAACCTGTTAAGCATCTTTTCTGCGCACGAAAACCCACCTGGCCCAAGGCCACCGCGACACCGGAGCCGGAGGAAGAACCACCCGACAGAAAGGAGCGATCCTGGGAACCGAGTGGTGGGCTCTGGGCTGTCGAGTCATGTTCCAGAGAAGCAACCGGGGTTAGCTGTGCAGGGGCAACCGCAACGCGCAGACCAAGCGCCGGGCGAGCGCGTTCTGACAAGCGCCATACGGTGATCGAACCTGAAGGTCCCGTCGCGTAGGGGAGTCGCGCGGCGCCTGGTCAGTGGACGGATATGGGAATGGAAGACAGACAGAAGTCTATGAACTGTGCCAAATGAACAGGAGATGTGCCAAATGAATGGTGCTATCAACTTAAACATCCAGCAGTCACGACAAAGGGGTGCTTAATGCAGGTTAGGGGTGCCCAACTGGGTGCCCAGCTACTCCACTCAGTGGATGGGACTAAAAACCCACACCTTTGTGACCCCTGGATAAGAGTCTATGACAGTCTATGATGTCTCCAAATCACTTTGGCTCCGTTTTCGGACGCCCTCCTCGGACGCCCTCCTTGGCTCCCGGCGCCCACCAAGCCTAGCCAAACAGCGGCTGAAAAGCGGCCGAAACGCTCGGTCCACGCGTCCGGACTCCGCTCAACGTGGCGCCCACCGGCGGAAACCGACGTCGCTTCGCTGTCGACGTCGAACAAAAGCGGTTTGGCCTGTGGCAGCACCTGGCAGAGACGGGGGGGGAAAAGGGCACTGGCGGGGGGGCAGGAGCAGGCGCAGTGATGATGGGTGGTGGATTTGGGGTGCCCGGCCCCTAGGTTGATCATTCTTGGGGGAAAAAAAGAACGTTGAAAAACCAGGGTACCCCGGTCAGAAAACCTACAGCCGCATGGTTTGGCTGTTACAGTTGCTGTCACATCTGTTAAGGCTCTGACAGTCGAGGTTGGTCTTACCCACCACAATGGCACCTGCATCCTACAGCAGTGCGCCGCGTGCTGTCGCCGCGTGCGCGAGCGGCTTGTTTCATGAAACATGTGAGCGGTTTTGCATGGTTTATAATTATAGCATATAGCTGGGACTGCGCGGTATTGCACGGGATAGTCCACTGCTCCTCTCCTGAAGCTTCTGCACCACCGCAGCACCTCATAAAAGCAAATCAAACACTCAGTGCACAACTCCTCAACTCCTTTGGAACATATGGGTGATCAATGATCAATGGGGCTCAGCATGAAACCGGCTCAGCGTCATTCTTTTTGCTGCCATACGCGCATCGAACGGGTCTGTGGAAGGTCCGATGGTCTGACCAGCTCACATCCCCAAGACGGTGTTTGTTTTCGTCGTTCAACAGCTAACCATCACTTGGGAAGACTGAGCCCGGCTTGCGTTGGACGGGACGTTGTGCGACTGTGGTCTTTTTGGGGCTCATCACAGCCCCTCTTAGCCCGCCGCTTTCATGTGCCAGCGGGGGACGCCTTGGAGCATCCAAACGATGCGTCGGAAGCCAGGACGGATTTTTCCGCCTCCAACAACATGTTAATTAGACATTGGAACTATCAAGGAACTAATTTGAACAAAGAAAAAGAAAGACATGGGAACATGTTGTCCACATCTCTCGTTCGAAACAACACCTATCAATTAGTGTGGTGTCTTTGCATCAAGAAGTGCGCAGACCGTGCACAGACCGCAGCGGTCCGCGCTGTGGTCTGAACGTGCCACGTGCCTGGGGGCTCGATAGTCCATGGCATTGGTGGTTGGAAGACCCTTCACCTGGCAGCTGGGCGTAATTGATGTCGGTCCATGGGAGGACACAGGGATTTCGTCAACACCTGGTGTTGGGTCCCCGCGACGGAAAACACGCCAACGACTCCATCAAGTTGTCTTTCACAGCGAAGGTGGAACCCAAAAGGGGAAGTTCTCGCTGTCTTTCCTCCTGGGCAGTCATTGGTACTTCACCTGTCATACCCCTTCCTGCTAACCACCAGCAAATCGATTCGAGATATGCTCATTGCCATGGTGCGTGAAAGCCTATTCCAAAATTGTAATTTTTGCGTGGCTCCTCGGTCATCGAAGAGGCTCGAGTCTCCAAAGTTTTTGCCTCTGCAAGGACCTGCGGACGGACGCAGTAAACAAACAACATATAGGCTCGGTGTGGTGTGTGTGTGTGTGGCACATCCCCCCGTCCAGCAGATGATCTGTTTCATGGTCCATTGATTTGTCATGATTTGTCTACCAGCCAACTTCAAGCTGTCCTGCGCTGTATCCACTGCTTGATCAGTGGAATGTGTGACGATCTCGCGAAGAATTCGGAGTGATTGGTTGAGGTAGTACTATATGGCAGTATGGAGCAACTATCCGCCGACCCCGCCGTAGCGAGGGGGAGCGCGCCAGGGATTACGGGTAGCTGTTTGGGGCGTGGGGGTAGCTAAGTTTGAAGAATCGAGGTTCGTTGAATCGAGGCGCAAGAATAAATGGAAGAAAAGTCCTTTTTGTTATAGGGATTCAGAGGGGGCGTGTGGGAGCGAAAGTGCGAGGAAGAGGCTCGTTTGGGGCCAAAACTAGATAGGGGAAAGCCGTGGGGCTAAAACTAGATGGGGAAAAGCCGTGGCGGCGCCAGGTGTTCGGGGCCAGG